GTTTTTCTACCAGATTTGGAGATCGTTAGCAATTCTGCCAAGGTGTTAACAGATTTACCAGTTATTTGTCCATCTGCCCCCAAATCATTCCCCACCTTGCCCTGTTCTGTACTGCAAGGACTATATTTCTCAGCCTCCTTTGCCTACAGGTTTACCAGTGTGTTTGCCTGATGAGAACTGGCAGAAGACTGGCTCTGGAAACAGAGGACAAGCCAGGGTATTTGTCCCCCTCTCTATGTAAGCCACTGGTGGTGTCTTCGGTAGTAGTTGAATCTCTTCTCTGATTCTAGCCACTGCTAAGTAAACCCAACCATGGTGTATGCCTTCCAGATGGCTGTCGTTTCTGGCTTCTAGTAATACCACCTCCACCGTTTGTCCTTCTGGCTGAGGGGAGTAGCAGCTTCCTGTAGTTTATAACATCTGGTTTTCCTCAGTATTCCCTACTTGACTTCTCAGCTCTTCTTTTACCCATGAAACAAATTCCCTGTGAAGAATCTAGAATCTTCCCTCTGAAGAATCTATAATGATTTGTTTTCCTAAGTGAATCCTGACTTGTCAATACAGAGAGCCTTGAGAATGAAACCAACTCAAGTAGCCAAGAAACAGCAGTATCTAAAGCTACTTCTTGGACCCCTGAATCCAGCCATGCCTGAAAGCATTCCTACTGCCACCATTTTTCACTCAAGTGATCCCATAAATTCCTTCACTTTAGCTAGTTCATATTAGTTTCTGTCACTTGTGACCTACAGACTCCTAATTCAGGTCCCCTCCTTACGTCAGCAAGGAGTACAGAAGTCAATGTTCCCTGCATACCACCCACCAAAATCACAATAAAGCCCTAAAAGAGTAATGAGTTTTTTTGGGGTCAGCGTCTCACTCTGTTGCCCAGGCTAGAGTGCAGTGGTATTACCATAGCTCACCACAACCTCAAACTCCTAGGCTCAAACAATCCTCCTGCCTCAGTCTCCCAAGTAACTAGGACTGCAGGCATGTGCCACAAGGCCCAGCTAATTTTTCTATGTTTTGTAGAGATGGGGTCTCGCTATGTTCCTCAGGCTGGTCTCGAATTCCTGACTTCTAGCAATACGCTCATCTTGGCCTCCCAAAGTGTTATGAGCCACATGAGCCACTGTTCCTGGCCAAAAAAAATGTTTTAACATAATTGAATATTCATCAAAAATCTTGAGGGAGAAGAACTTCCCGAAGCCAAGAAGCAATCAATAGAGTCATAGAGATAAAGGAAGAGAAATCAGACTACATAAAAATTCTAGATTTCTAGAATTAGAAAATTTATGAACAAAATAAAAACCTTCAAGATTTGTAAGTCACACCTTTATGCCAATCAAAAAGATCTGTAGATTCTCAGCATTCAATAAATGTGATTTGCCTTCAAAAAGAGAACTATAATATTGCCATGTACTTTTAGAAAATTAAAAAACACATGTCTACACATACCTATATATGTGTATATGTAATCATATGTGTGTGTAGTCATGTGTGTATAGTTTTCTCATATATGCAGAGAACACCGTTAGGTTCATCTGTGTGGGTATTCTCTGGTCCCCCTGTTCCCAGTGTGCAGAATGAGTACTGGTACCAACTCGAGCCAATAACGGAGTGATCCCAAACACAGAGCAACTTAATACAAACAGTTCATCACATAAAAGAAAGAATGAGCCGGGCGCGGTGGCTCACGCCTGTAATCCTAGCACTTTGGGAGGCTGAGGCGGGCGGATCGCTCAAGGTCAGGAGTTCGAAACCAGCCTGAGCGAGACCCCATCTCTACCAAAAATAGAAAGAAATTAATTGACCAACTAAAAATATATATACAAAAAATTAGCCGGGCATGGTGGCGCATGCCTGTAGTCCCAGCTACTCGGGAGGCTGAGGCAGTAGGATCGCTGAGCCCCGGAGATTGAGGTTGCTGTGAGCCAGGCTGACGCCACGGCACTCACTCTAGCCTGGGCAACAAAGTGAGACTCTGTCTCAAAAAAAAAAAAAAAAAAAAATGAAAGGGAGCTAAACAAAGGGAAAATACATTCCAGAGAGAGTGGAACCGGTCAGTCTCCAGGAGAGGAGAAACACCCTGGAGGCTGAGCACATGTTACCTTTCATTAGCCTACTAGCTTGTCCCGCCTTTCTGCTGCCAGGATTGGTTGCTGTTTCCTGTCTTTGGGGGGGTGATTGACAGGATGATGTCATATAACAGATCCTATATGCCAGGTTACATAACAGAGTAGGTTATATAACAATTTCCCTTTTTGCGCATGCATCTTTTCCAGAATTCTCTGTGAAGCTCCACCCATGTTATGCTAATTATTTAGGTACTGAGCTCTGAGTCAGTTAAAGGTTACTAGGACTTTTTACTATGTATGTTCCCAACAGGGAACAGTTTGTAGTGGCAGTTTGGTGCCTAGCTTCAATTCAGTTATCGTTCTTCATCCTTAGCCACCTTTTTGTCACCTGTTTACCCTCCACCAGACCTAACAATATGACTAGAAGAACACACAAGAGCTTAAAAATTATTTAGTAACCTGTGCTGTCTCCAGAGAGGGGAACTGATCAGATACAGGCCCGAAATAAGGGGGAGACTTTTGTACTTTTTCAGATGTTGAACCACATAAATATATAACCTATTCAAATAAAATAAAAGTAATTTAAGTTTTAAAATAAAAGTTTCTAAAAATTACACCAAGATCAAGTTTTAGAACAAAATGGAGATGCAATGGACATTTGTCATTTTGCCTTTTTTTTTTTTCCTTCCTGGCACCTCTAAACACCAGTCCTATGTTTGGGGAATTTCCCAAACTTAGGCATCCACACCTCCCAGTGAGAAACCCAAACAACTGCTTTCCCAAGCCTCCCTTGCAGCTAGGATGACCAGGCTCCACCAGAGGGATAGAGTCAAGCTAGACATGGAACTGGCAGCCACAACAAGTAGGCATGGAATCCATCCTGGTGGGGGTCACCACAGCTACCTCCAGGGTTCCGGGGCAGCAGAGAAACAGACTCCCCAGAGGAGTCCAGGGCCTGGAGATAGTGGGGTCCACAGGGCAAGTACCAGGGTGTGTGCCAAGCCAGCCAATGCTCCTGCGAGTTTTGGGGCATGTTCCTGATCACTGCCCCAGAGCCCAGTTCTCTGGCCCTGCAGAGATTCTGCAAGCTCCCCACATCCTTTATAAAACTACTTTCTGCTTAAAGCAGCTTGAGTTGGCTTCTGTTTCTTGTTCTGAGAAGCCTAACTTCTATTGTGAGCATGTATCAAAGCCTTACAAAGATTCATCATCCCTTTTGAAGCACTGCTATTCTGCTCTTGGGAATCTACCCTCAAAGTAATTATGGTCAAATAAAATATCTTAAATATAGAGGGACATATCACACAGTTGTTTTTGTCCACCCAGCATCCATTACTGTTCTTCTGGCAACAGCAAATATTCTTGATTTTGTTCAGAAGAATATTCTACCCACCCTCTGTTCTAACAGAAAAAAACCCTCCACTGACTCTTAAGTAAATTGAAGCTGGGCACCATCGCTCACACCTGTAATCCCAGCACTCTGGAAGACCAAGGCAGGAGGATCACTTGAGCTCAGGAGTTCGAGACTAGCCTGAGCAAGATCAAGACCCCGTCTGTACTAAAAGTAGAAAGAAATTAGCAGGGCAACTAAAAATAGAGGAAACAAAATTAGCCAGGTATGGTGGTGCATGCCTGTAGCACCAGCTACTGGGGAGGCTGAGGCAGGAAGATCACTTGAGCCCAGGAGTTTGAGGTTGCTGTGAGCTAGACTGATGCCATGGCTATCTAGTCTGGGCAACAGAGCGAGACTCTGTCTCAAGCAAAGAAAAACGAAAAGAAGAAAGAAAATTGGATGAGCCATACCCACCCAATGACAGCATGACATCCTCCTGGCCACAGCAGCTGCTTCAGGGAAGAATGAGAAATCTCAGGGAAGTAAATTGGATCTGATGAGAGCTAATGCTTAAGAGTGACAGAAGGGAACCTCTTCTCTTTTCCCGTTTGTTTCCAGGAGCCGCCAATGGCCCCCAGCCACAGCTTCCTGAAGGGCCCAACACAGAGGAAGCCTTCAGGAAGAGATGATAGGAGACAGATTCCTAATGACATCTTTTGGGCACCTACATACAGCACCTGAACCTGGACAGGTCTATGCCTCTGGATTTTTCCACAACTTAAGCCATAAACTATTTGTTCAACTTATTTATGCCAGCTTGGGTTTGGGAGACGTAAGAGAAAGAGGTATTCAAAATAAACAAATAAGATTAATGCTACACATTGTTCTGGAATTCTCATAAGCACTTAGTAGAGATCCAAAATGAAGATAGGTGCATTGGCTAAAAAAAAAAAAAATCCTTATAATAATAATAGGTACCCTTGGCATAGACAGCCACTGTTCTAATTACTTTACATGCTTTAATTCACTTGTTTCCTCAAACAACCCACAAACAGGTACTACTACCACTGCCATTTTAGAAATGAGGACACTAAGGTATGGAGAAGTGATGGATTGTGCTCAAGATCTCTCAGCTCCCAAGTGACAGGGTAGGGATGCAAACCCAGGCACTCTAGCTACAGGCTTTGGACTGCCTCCTGTTGCAATGTTCAAAAGCACTTAAAATGCAGAGACCTACAAGGAGGCAAGATGTTTCTGAAGGAGCTGAAAGGCTCTTGTCACCTTAGGAAAACACTATCTTAGAAAGAGAGACAGAGAATGATGGTGCCCTTGGCAATCTAACCATCACACAGAGGCTGCAGCCCACAGTGGTGCCCCCTTCCCACTCACGACGGTCGTGTTACCTGAGCGGCCACACATAACTTTAGGAGACTCCTTCACGAGGCCTTCAAAGAATCTCCAGAGACTCCACGGAGAATCCTAAAGACCCTCTAAAAAGAACACCCAAAGAAACTTCCCCAGACACTTCCACCACACGTCATTTCCAGAGACCCGTCTACAGAGCCTCACAGCATGTCCAGGCTCACACTGACCGGTCACTTGGCCCAGGTTGGCACACTTGTGCCTCCTGCAGTTAGTCCAGAAGCCCAGGTAGCCATTGTAGGGTCCCTTCACATAGGCCATACGCCCATCCATCACGCTGAGAATCATCAGGGTCGCGAGGATGCTGAAGACGAGAGACCAGCTCCGCAGGATGAACTTGCGGTCCTCCTCCCAGGAAAAGCCCAGGTCCGCTGGGAAAGAATAGAGTTCTGGGGGCCTGGATCTTTCTCCATCACTTTGCTGCATCCTGGTCTCCATCCCCACCCCACCCGAACTTTGCCTTTTATCCTGTTTCCAATCGCCTTCCACTCACAACCATCCCCCATCCCCACCCAAACCACAACCTAAACCCCATCTCTATTCCTGTCTCATCCACAACTTTAACTTCACCTCCAGCACCATCCATAATCCACCCCATTCACATTATTCTCCCTATCCTAAACCTCAGACACAACTCAATCCCTGTCTCTAACTAAAAAATACCCCCATTCCCATGACTAACTCTAATACCCTAACCGTAACCCCACCCTAAGCCCAAACCTATTTGTTTAGTCTCCAGCCCCATCCTCTGGTCCCTCTTCCCCAAACCCCAGTTCCATTTCCACTCTCAACCCCATCTCCATCCCTGTCCCGAATCCCAATCCGGAACACAAACAACTATAACACAGGTTCCAAAGTATGTTTATGAGGGCAGGACCCATGATGTCAAAAGAAGGAATATGGATGGTGTATCCAACATTCTCAAGGCACCTGTGATTCTGTCAACTTTACCATTATCATCTCACCTTCCATCCTCCCGTTACTTACTTACCTCCAGCCACACTGGACCACAGGGTTTCTCCCACTACCAAGGGTTTTCTTACCTTGGGGATTTGACACAGTTCAGGCTGTTCTCTCTGCCTGGGACAGTCATCCCCCACATTTGCCCAGCCTGTCCTAATCACCCCATAGGTCTCATCTCCAATGGCACTTTCTCCACATCTGAGCCCAGCCCCTGCCTCAGTTCTTGATCAGGTCGCCTATTAGATGATCCCATAGTGCAGTGTATTTCTCCTTTTCTGGCAGATCACAGACTTAGGATTAACTACTTGACTGATATTTTTCCTATCAATCTTCCCCAACAGACCTCCATGGGCATAAGGAACAAACTATTTTGTTTCCTGCTATATCCCCACTGCCTGGTATGGAGCCAGTGACATTTGTTAAGGAGGAATGAATAAATGAATAAATGGGTGGATGCATTAACAGTATTCAGTAATAATAATTCTTTCTCATCCTCTGTGGTACAGCTCATTGTGGATTTTGGAGGAAATTGGGTATACCAGTCCAGAACACAGGGAAGAATTTAGAGGATGGAGAAAGAAACTTTTATAACTCAATCAATAGCTATGACATATAAAAACTCAACAGGTTTTTATTACAATGGGTTCTAAGTGCTTTTACATGTTATTCACCCATTTCGTCTTCATAAAAACTCTATGAAGAGTATTTGTCTCCGTTGACAGATGGGGAAACAGAGGCATAAAGTTAAATGCCTTGCTCAAGGTCACACACAGCTGGCAAGGAAAGAGCCAGGACTCTAATCCGAGTTATCTTGCCTCAGGGTCCATGATTCACACCCTTAACTACTATTAACTATACTGCCTTTCATACCCTTAATATGCAAACAGCTTCTACAAATCGATACAGAAAAGATGAATACTCAGCAGGGAAATGGGCAAAGAGGAAGAATAGACTATTCAAAAAGACAGAGATACAAAGGCCCATTATCATGGGAAAGCATGCTCAACCTTATCACTTATCAAAGCAATAGAAATAAAAATAAGGAAGTAATAATTTATATCTATTAAAGTGTCATGAATTAAAGCAACTGAAAATGTACACGCTGATAAGAGTATTGCAACCCATGCACCCTTGGGGGTTACATAAGTTGATGGAATTTTTTGAGAGAACAGCTTGGTGGGAAGAAACAGATAGGGAAAAACATGGTGCAGGCTTGGCTAGCTGAAACGGAGGTGCTAACAACGCTGTTTTTATTATTCTCATTTTCAGATGGGGAAACTGAGGCATAGAGCAGATAAATGATAGACATGATAAAGAAACAGCCTGCTATGTATACGTTATAGCTACACACCCAAAGGTGTGAAACTGTCAGGGCAAAATACCCTCAGTGGACTTCTTGCTAGCTAATGGCTCAACGATATACCCACGGACAGGAAAAGGAAACTCACTGTTCTAGCATATATACCACATGGACGGGTACCTGGATGGATGAATAGATAGACTGAGATACAGAAATAAACAGATATATCTTCAGATTTTCCTTCTTCCCCTCCTCCTCTTGTACAAATCCTATTTTTGCCTTTTTTCAATGAAATCAATCCATTATTAATTTCCTTGTATACAAGTAAATCACATACTGGAATTACCTATGTGTACTCTTTGAGGTATTCTTTGACTGTAAGTGTCAATATCTTTTTTCAAAAGTATATCCTATTTGGCTCAGAATTTCTAAGAAATTACCCTATCAAAATAAAAGGAAAAGAAACAAACAAAATGTCATTGCAGGCTAGGCACAGTGGCTCACATCCATAATCCCAGCACTCTGGGAGGCTCACTTGAGACCAGGAGTTTGAGACCAGTCTGGGCAATATAGCAAGATCCCATCCCAACAAAAATACTTTATAAATTAGTCAAGCTTGGTGGCATGTGCCCATAGTCCCACCTATGCCAGAGGCTGAGGCAGGAGGATCACTTGAGCCCAGGAGTTCAAGGTTATAGTAAGCCATGGTCATGGTAGCACCATTGCACTCCATCTTGAGCAGCAGAGTGACATCCTGTCTCTTAAAAAAAAGTCATTGCAGTATGTTTGGACTAGGCATAATAAAGAAAAAGAAAATAATGTATTCATTCAATAAATGTTTACTAAGCAACTACCATGTGCCAGACCCTGTGCTGAGTGCTTCAGATAGAAGTGGAAGCAGACAGAGCCCTAGCTCCTAGCCCTCTTGGAGCTTACAATGTATCTAAAAAGGCAGGCATCATGCCAACAATCACACAAATATATCGAGACCAAATGTGATAGGTGCTATGAGAGTTAGAATAATCTAAATGTCCAACAGGAAGAGATTGGTTGAAAATACAACAGGCAAACAGTGGGTGGCAAAGTCTGCTAATCTTCCCTTTATGCAATAGAACAAAAGCCAAACTCTTTAACTGGCCAAAAACATACCTAGAATAAAGACATTTCCCAGCTTCCCTTTCTACTCAGTGTGGCCATATGACAAAGGGGTGGTCAATGAGATAAATGGGGTATGAACAAAAGTGGTTCATGCTGCAAAAGGAAGGGGCTTATTACCTCCCTTCTTTCCTTCCCTGGATGGAATGTGAGCAGACAACAGCTAGTGGAGCAAAAAGACAGAAGGGGCCCAAACATTAGCATCAGGGTTCATATGGGACAGAAATAACTTTTTATAATGCAAACTACTGTTGTCTTATTTTCAGTCCCTGTCCAGTATCCAAACAAATATCTCAACTAATCCACAAAAGAATACCACATTTTACTGATTCTAAAATGCACATTTTCCACATTTTAGTACCTCTAAACTTGGGGTGCATCATGCCATTGGTACTATCTGAAAATCACCTTTGGCCCTTTAGCTTTTTTAAAAAAAAATTTAGAGACAGGATCTCTCTGTTATCCAGGCTGGAGTGCAGTGGCTATTCACTGGTGTGATCATAGCTCACTGCAGCCTCCAACTCCTGGGCTCAAAAGATCCTCTCACCTCAGCCTCTCGAGTAGCTGAGACAACCAGCATGTGCCAGCAGGCCCAGCTTTGGCCATTTTTTAACATGACAGCATCTACTAAGGATAGTGTCTTAGATTCTATGAAATGCAATGCTATGTAGTGGTTAAAATAAAATAACCTGGGTATTCATGTAATTAAAAACATAAAAGTTTGTGTTTCTTCTTTCAAAGGATATTCACAAAAGCCAAAGGAAAGAATGGGGAAACAGTGAGTTGAAAAGTCCCCACCCCTCACCCATATGAGAGGTCACACATATAGCTTTGGGTTCCTGCACCTCTGATGACTTCTCTGATCTCCTCTTATCAAGCTGTCACTGGGTCTGCCTCCTCTCCATCACCTGGAATGGGAAGTCTTTGAGAGTGAGGAGCAGCACTAATATTCATTGGGTCCCTGAGACCCCAGGTAAAGGTGTAGAGAAACAGAGGAAGAACAGAACAAGGAGAGACATAGAACTTGAGAAAGGAATAAAAGGATGAAAATGACTCAGAAAAGACCCTCAGAAGTATGGGGGGGAGAGTGGGTAGTGAAACCATGCCAGAATTAAAGAAACCAGCAACTAACAAATTCCTGAGCTTACAGGATAGCATATAAGAAAAGAAAAAACTTGTTGAAACCACTGAAACTCTCTCTGCTAGTGTTACAGCAAGGTGTACAGCTAGTGTTACAGCTCTTGACCAAGGAAAGAACCAAGCAGCACAGGAAGAGTCAGAGAAGTCTTCTTCCAGCAGGCTCAGCTGACTTCTGACCCCCCTTTCCTTGTTCTCCTGCTTTTACACACTTGGTAGGCCTCAAAAAGCGTCCAATCAGCAACAAGCTTTAACATCCAATCAGCAACAAGCTTTAACATCCAATCAGCAACAAGCTTTAACATCCAATCAGCAACAAGCTTTAAAATCCAATCAGCAACAGTGGGATTCAAAAAGTGTCCAATCAAGATCTCACAGCCAGTGTGAATGGAGGACAGGAGCAGGTGGGGCTCAGGCAGATGCTAGGCCAGGCCCCAGCAGTGTGCACCCTCTGTGGCCTCCAGCTGGCCCCAAGCAGCACCGGCCCACAGGGATGCGGAGCCCAGCTGCATCCTGGCAGTCAAGGGTTTTTCCCTGTCACTAGTAAAATAACAAAACTGGCTGAAATCTGTTGGAACCAATATGGCCAACTGGCATCAACACAGATTGAACGTGCTGACATCACAGCCAAAATTCACACTAACTCCACCCAAATTTGCACATGCAACCCTTGAGGAGACATGAAGAGATAACTGTGCATGCCTGAGGACTTTTCAGATCTCCCCTTTTCTTCCACCAATCATCTACTAATCACAGAATCCACCCCCTAAACCTTTTCTAATTAAAGTACTACCTGAAAGCCAGCACTGGGAGACAGATTTGAGCTGGACTCCTGTCTCCTTGTTGGTCAACTGGCAATAAAGCTTTTCTTTTCTCAAAAACCTGGTGCCATAGTATTGCTTCTAGCACATTGGGCAGCAAACCCCTTTTGCTAACAGTAGGAAGAGGGAATTATAAATTCAGATGCAGGCCCTCCAGAAAATGTTAGAATTCATTGAAAGGACAGCCTTGCTAATAAATTATCTAACAGAGAAAAATAAACTAACAAATAAAAAAGAAGAGTAAAGTCACAGCATATAATTTGCCCCTTTGAAGGGAAAGACCACAGCACAACAACCCCTTGTCTAATTAACCACCTCAGGCTTCACTTGCTGTCTTTTAAGATCAACCACCAGTGTGGCTTAACTTGTTCTCTTAAGAGTGTGTTTTAACGGGCACCACTGAAGAGCCCTGAGCAGACAGCAGGGGTGCGAACTTTCCCCAGCCCCAGCTGTCAGCAGACCACATTCCAAGAAGACTGAGAAGCTAGCGTCAGAGAAAAGAGAGAGAGAGAGACAGAAAAAGAGAGAGAGGAAAAACAGACACAGCTGCTTCACAATCATTTTTGCTATCAGTTGTCAGCAATCACTTTTTTTTAATGCTCACTGGCCCCATAAAAACCCCAAACCCCCTATTCCTGTGGTTGGCACTTCTTTCTTTCTCTTGTGCTGCACCGTTCCCTTCCTTGAGAAGTAACATAAAGTTTCTTTAAAACAATTCTCATCTTTGTGTCGAGAATTCTTTCTCAGACTGCATTACAATGCAAGTTGCCACCCTAACATTCATCCTAGAGATGCTGTTGACCCAGGCCTGCCTCAGCCCTGCCTCAGCTCTGGCCCCTAGCCTGGCCCCTCTCTGACCCACTGCCTCCAACCTGACTCCTCCCTTACCCCATCCCATCCCATCCTGACCCAGTCCCAGCCCCCATGTCACTCACATAAGGTGGAGTCTGAGGCCATGGCCAAGGTGCCAACCTCCTGGAACCCCTCCAACTGTCATGGAACCTCCCCCCAACCTCAACTGAAAGCCAGACTGAATCCCTGAGCCCTGCCTGTGGATGGCAGGAGAGACCAAGAAACACAGAAGAAGGGCAGAGAGATCCAAATGCCAGGGGACAGAGTCTGAATTCCAGAGAGAAACCAACAGGCTTCCAGGCAGCCACTGAAGTGCCTAGAAGGAGGGGCTGAGAGGCAGGTGGCAGGCTGTTGAATGCATCTGGGGACTGGCCCTGCCCTGCATCTCCACATGGCTCAGAGGCCTCAATCTGACCTACAGAGTACCCAGTCAGGTTTCCTGCCAGCAGCAACCAACAACACCCAAGCCAAGACCCAAGACCCTCCACCAATTATCTACAACCCTCAAGTCAATACCCAACACCCTCCACTAGCTATCGGCAGTCACCTGGTCAATATCCAATACCCTCTGCCAACTGTCAAAAGTCGCTCAAACAGTATCCAAGACTCCTTGCCAATTATCCACAGTCACCGGGTAAGTATGCTAGACCCTCCACCAGCTGTCAGCAGTCACCGGAAGAGTAGCCACGACCCTCCACCAGCTGTCAGCAGTCGCTGGAGCAGTATCCAAGACCCTCCACCAGCTATCACGACTCGCTGGGTCAGCATCCAAGACCCTTCACCAGCTGTCACCACTCGCTGGGTCAGCATCCAAGACCCTTCACCAGCTGTCACCACTCGCCGGGTCAGCAGCCAAGACCCTTCACCAGCTGTCACCACTCGCCGGGTCAGCAGCCAAGACCCTTCACCAGCTGTCACATCCGGGTCAGCAGCAAGCCTTCACCAGCTTCACACTCACGCGGGTCAAGCAGCCAGAATTACCACCTTGTCACCACTCCCGGGTCAGCAGCCAAGACCCTCCACCACGGCAGCTGTCACCACTCGCCGGATCAGCAGCCAAGACCTACCAGCTGTCACCACTCGCCGGGCCAGTATCAGAGAACCTTCACCCAGCTGTCACACTTCGCCGGGTCAGCAGCCAAGACCCTTCACCACCTGTCACCACTCGCCGGGCCAGCATCCAAGACCCTTCACCAGCTGTCACCACTCGCAGGCTCCAGCAGCAAGACCTCCACCAGCTGTCCACCACTCGCCGGGTCAGCAGCCAAGCCTCCAACCAGCTGTCCCAACTCGCGGGTCAGCAGCCAGACCTTACCGCTGTCACCACTCACCGGGCGCAGGCAAGACCCTCCACCATGCTGTCACACCTCGCCAGTCAGCAGCCAAGACCCTCCACCAGCTGTCACACTCGCCCGGGCCAGCAGCCAAGACCCTCCACCACCTGTCACCACTCGCTGGGTCAGCAGCCAAGACCACTTCACCAAACCTGTCACCACTCGAGGGCCAGCATCCAAGACCTTCACCAGCTGTCACATCGCCGGGTCAGCAGCCAAGACCCTCCACCAGCTGTCACCACTCGCCGTCGCACCAGACCTTCACCAGCTGTCACCACTCGGCCGGTCCAGCAGCAAGACCCTTCACCAGCTGTCACCACTCGGCCAGCAGGCAGACCTCCACCACCTGTCACCACTCGCCGGGTCAGCAGCCAAGACCTCCACCATGTCACCACTCCGCCGGCAGCAGCCAAGACCCTCCACCCCTGTCCACACTCCGGTCAGCAGCCAGACCTCCACCACCTTCACCACTCGCCGGGTCAGCAGCCAAGCCTCCACCACTGTCACCGATCGCCGGTCAGCGCAAGACCCTCCACCAACCTGTACCACTCGCCGGGTTCACGCCAAGACCTCCACACCTTCACCACTCGCCGGTCGCAGCCAGACCTCACCACTGTCACACTCGCGGGTCGCAAGCCAGACCTCCACCGCCACTGTCCACCACTCGACGGGTCAGCAGCCAGACCTTCACCAGCTGTAGCAGTCGCCAGGGAAGATATCAACCCCTCCACGCCAGCTGTCAGCAGTGCCGCGGTTTAGTTATCCAAGACCCTTCATCAGCTGTCAGCAGTCCAGGGCAGTATCCACACCCCTCCACCAGCTGTCAGCAGTCGCCGGGTCAGCAGCCAAGACCCTTCACCAGCTGTCAGCAGTCGCCAGGGCAGTATCCACACCCCTCCACCAGCTGTCAGCAGTCCCGGCAGACCAAGACCTCCACCACCTGTCACCAGTCGCCGGGTCCAGCAGCCAAACCCTTCACCTCAGCTGTCACCCACTTCCGCCGGGTCAGCAGCCAAGACCCTCCTCATCACACTCGCCGTCACCACCATCCCTAACTGTACCAGGGTCAGCATCCAAGACCCTCCCTCAGCTGTCACCACTCGCCGGGTCAGCATCCAAGACCCTTCACCAGCTGTCACCACTCGCCGGGTCAGCATCCAAGACCCTCCCTCAACTGTCACCACTCACAGGGTCAGCATCCAAGACCCTCCATCAGCTGTCACCACTCCGGGCTCAGCAGCCAGACCTTCACAGTGGTCACCACTCACAGGGTCAGCATCCAAGACCCTTCACCAGCTGTCACCACTCGCAGGGTCAGCATCCAAGACCCTCCCTCAGCTGTCACCACTCACAGGTCAGCATCCAAGACCCTCCCTCAGCTGTCACCACTCGCCGGGTCAGCATCCAAGACCCTCCCTCAAGCTTGTCACCACCATCAACGGGTCAGCAATCCAAGACCCTTCACCAGCTGTCACCACTCACAGGGTCAGCATCCAAGACCCTTCACCAGCTGTCACCACTCGCCGGGTCAGCATCCAAGACCCTCCCTCAGCTGTCCACCACTCACAGGGTCAGCATCCAAGACCCTCCCTCAGCTGTCACCACTCGCCGGGTCAGCATCCAAGACCCTCCCTCAGCTGTCACCACTCACCGGGTCAGCATCCAAGACCCTTCACCGCTGTCACCACTTCGCCGGGTCAGCATCCAAGACCCTTCACCAGCTGTCACCACTCGCCGGGTCAGCATCCAAGACCCTTCACCAGCTATCACCACTCGCTGGGTCAGCAGCGAAGACCCTTCACCAGCTATCACCACTCACTGGGTCAGTATCCAAGACCCTCCATCAGCTGTCACTACTCCCCGGGTCAGTATCCAAGACCCTCCACTACCTATCACCAGTCACCGGGTCAGTATCCAAGACACACCATCTAATACCTACAGTCATTGTTTCAGTATCCAAGATACTCAAACAATTTTCCAAATTCACCACAAATGTATCCAAAGTTCTCACTCCTTGACCAATGTCAAATCAGTCACCCACAGTAACCACGACCATATCCAAAACCACCTGCCAACAACCAAGACTTCCCATTTTAGTATTCAAATTCCCACATCACAAAGCCGGGCCAGTGCTGATGTCCCCCCATCAATTACCCACAGCCCTGAGGTCGGTATCAAAAGCTTCGAATTGATTATCTGGGATTTCCAGGAGAGTTTCTAAGAATATGTGCACAGCTCCCAGCTCAACCAAATTCCACTTGACGATAGCCACAATTTTTCATCAGGCAACTCCACGGGGACCAGTTCTGGTGGGTAAGAGGCAGGGGCCCAGGCGGTAGGCCAAGCTCTGGGCTAGAATTCTGAGGGAGGGGAAGCAGCCAAAAGTCAGGGACCTGAAGCATGGTTGGTTTACCAGAAACTACACGTGTAGCAGGGCTTGGAAGCTAGATCTAAAGGCCGGCCCCAGGTAGGGCATGGCATAGAGGCAAGACCTGGGAGATAAAGGGCATGGAGGGTGGCCATGGGGTACACACTATCTAAGGCTGGACCTGGGGTGGCTGGGCAGGCTGGCTAGATTCAATGCTGACACTGGCGGTGGGCAATCTGCTGCAGGTTTCAGAAGAGTAGCTGCCATTCACTGCTGTCTGTATGCTGGCAGCTGCTGCATGAGGCCAAGAAGATCAGCCACCGGCTGAGCCTGGTGTTCAGCCTGGCCAGTGTGGGGATCATCACTATCATCACTCTAGTCCAGCCCTGGGTCCAATTCCAGGTGCCACTGATGCCCGCTGAGGATGCTGCTGGCTCCCTGACCATGCTCATCAACACCATCTTCTTTGTGCAGTGCTCTGACATCTCCTGCCGGCATTGGAACAACCATGATGCTTGTAATCCCTGCCCTGTCCTCACCACTCCTGGGACTCATCTCTCTACTTTTCCCAGGGACCCTTTCACCTATCACAGAATGGATTCTTCCTTCCCTAAAATGATCGTCTTTAGGCCCTGTGTGGTCCTCATTGCCCCCAGATGATCCTCCTCAATGCCCCAGGACAGTCCTCTGAGACCCAGGAAGATCCTCACAGCCTAGATGGTCTTCATGGCCCCAGGATGGTCTCATTGCCCAAGATGGTTTCCACTACCTGGGATGGTCCTCATTGCCTGGAATGTTCCTCTCAGCCCTAGGATAGTCTTCACACCCCTAGGATAGTCCTCACTGCCTCGGGATGGTCTTCACTACCCCGAGATAGTCCTCACAGCTCTACAATGGTCCTCAAAGGTCTAGAATGGTCCTTACTATTTCCCACCTCACTTCTCACTGCCCAAGAACCTGTCCTCACCCACCCAGAGATATATCCTCAGTTCTGAGAGATCAGCTTCAATATCCCTTCTTTAGAACCCAATTTAAATTTCCTTAAAATTAGAATAATTTACAAGGGAGAGGGTTTAAGAATACTCCCAGACTAACTGGTGACCCTTTTCCCCATGCCCAGAGCCTGAGGACCAATCTTGGTGTTCCTGATTCTCTTCCTTCCCCAGACTTGCGGGACCTGGCCTGGGCCTTCCTCATCTCCAGCATAGCCAGCCTCTGCCTCTGCGTAGCCCTAATGAGCACCATCTTCTTTACCAGCTCCAACCTGCCCATGCTGGATTTCTTCAGCAGCAGCAGCAGCATCCTGACAGGCACAGCACTAAGATCCTTTCCTTGGGAACTTCGCCCAGTGGCAATCATGAAACCCAACCCTATCCCCACCACACTCCAATCCCATCCCCATCCTCACCTTCATCCCAAATCCTAATCCTATTTCCTTCCAAATCTCTAACCCATCCCAATAAAAAATATCAACCTCCAGTCCAACCCTATCTCCATCACCAACAAATGTCAAACTCATGCACATCCCTTTCCCCGATGTCCATCCCCACTCTGACCCCATTCCTAGTTTATCTTCTTTCCAATTTCCAACCCATTCCCATTACCATCCCAATCTCTTCACAAACTTCAATACCCAACTTAACCCCACACCTAATTATTCTCAGCACTTGTTTCAAATTCAACCCACTCTATCACCTGTGAACTTCAACCTCCAACTCAACCTCTGTTTCCAACCTCTACCTTCCAAACTCATCTTCTTCCCAATCCCCAACCCCATCCCTATCACTCTCAAACTCAACCCAACCCATTCCCAACTCCATCCTTTTACCTGTATCCTATCCATCCACAACTCCAACCACAATCCTGTCCCAACCACAACCCATCCCCATCCCAACATCATCCTCAATTTCAACCTCCACCTGATTGCCAACCCCATTCAAAATCCTGTCCCACCACCAGCTCTGTGATTCTGTTCCAGCTACTTCCTCTTCCCAAGCCACAGTTTTCTCATCTGTAAGATTGGGACAAAATTTCCTACCATGTGGAGATGTAGTGAGGACTGAATTAGAAAATGTCAGTCCTTGATGTTTTGCACAAGTCCTCACCATGATAACCTCCCATTCCCACCCAAATAACTCAAAACTGATATTACAATTAGAATAGTTTAGTTTTCTATTTGCATCCCCAATCATATTTTAAAATACGGAATTTTAATCTGGAAATGAAGGATATTGTGTTTCCGTCCCTTGTAGTAACAGATCACAATTTTTACTTGCATCAGGAAAACATTCTTGGAAAATGATATTAAGGGCAACAATATAGAACACCCAGCTTTCCTGTTTCCTTGATAGTAACTAGCACTTATCCAGTTTATCTAAGAGCTCTTCCTAATTGTTTAAATATAAAGTACCAAGTGTAGAAAACACATTGGTTTTAAATCATCTATAACAGCACATTTTTCTATAAGAAAATCATTTCTGTCCATTGCCCCCCACCTTTTAATTAACCATAAAACATCTACATTATTTTTCGATAGCCGAAGGCAAAATTTCCCAGTACTCGACTATCTGGGAGAAAAACGCAAACCTTTTCTCATTTGCAAATTATCTTTAATTCATGTTATTTCAAATATCCATAAGGACCAAGTTCTTTGTCCATTGCTTCACAAGCCCAAAATTAAAGCCCAACATAATATTAATGATCGTCCCAATCTTTGAGGGCTTACTATGTGCAAGCAAATGTACCTGGCACCTAGTCAATAACTCCTCCTGAGAAAATATTTGCTCTCTACACATCCAATAAAGGGCTGATAACAAGAATCTATCCAGAACTTTAAAATATCAGCCAGAAAAATCAAATAACCTCATCAATAATTGGGCAAGGGAAATGAACAGAAATTTTTCTAAAGAAGACAGAATGGCCAGCAAACATATAAAAAAAATGCTCAACATCTCTAATCATTAGAGAAATGCAAATCAAAACCACAATGAGATATCACCTAAGCCCAGTGAGATTGGCCTCTATCAAAAAATCCCAAGACAACAAATGCTGGAGAGGATGCAGAGAGACAGGAACACTCTTACAGTGTTGGTGGAACCTCTGTGGAAAAGTGCAAATTAGTGCAACCTCTGTGGAAAAGAATTTGGAGATACCTCAAAGAGGTTAAAATAGAAATACCACTTGACCCAGCAATAGCACTATTAGGCATCTATCCAAAAGAGCAAAAGACATTCTATAATAAAGACATCTGTACCCGAATGTTTATGCCAGCACAATTCACTATTGCAAGGATAGGGAAACAACTAAAGTGCCTGTCAATTCATGAGTGGATTATTAAAATCTGGTATATGTATACAATGGAATATTACTCAATTATAAGAAACAACAGTGATCTAGCACCTCTTATATTTTCCTGGATTGAGCTTGAGCCCATTATCCGAAGTGAGGTAACACAAGGTAGGAGGAATAGGCTCCACTTGTACTCACAACCAAATTGGTACTGACTGATTAACACTATGGTGCCCACATGGTAGTAATATTCTCCAGGGATGGAGGGTTGGGGAATTAAACTCACAACTATAGGACATGGTGAGCATTGTGGGGGGAAGAGCACGCATCTAACCCCTGCAAGGGAGAAGCAATGATATAAAATGTAACCAAAGTGTTTGTACCCTCATAATACCCTGAAATAAAAAAAATAATAGTAACTCCTCCTGACGCCCCTAGGAGGTCCTATAATTAAGCCTACTCTACCTGACAGAATTGAGGCTCAGTGAGATGGAGCGGGTGCCCTAAGGTGACAGGCAGAGGCAGAAAAGAGCCCTCTTCTGTTGGACTCAAAGCCTGTGGTTTTAGACACTATTATTAATTGTCAATTGACAGATTATTATTAATAATCTGTATTTTCTGTCCCAAATATTCTTTAATTTAGTTCAGTACTTTGGAAGTATTCTGTGGAACTACCATCGCTCTCTAGGGCCATCCTTGGGCCATCCTGGGTACAGGGAAAGGAAAGGGAAAGGACTCAGAGGGAAGGGGCTTGAGGCCCAAGGTCACCAAAAACACAGGGCCAATGGTCTCTGGCAGACAGTGCCCAGAGAGAACAGAGGACAGATCTCTAGGGGCCTCAGTAGGCCACAGTGAGAAGTTTGCTTTTATCCTGTAGTAGACAGCAAACCAGTGACAGAAATGGCTCTTATTTCCTTAAGAGAGGAAGTTAGGTCTGGTCTGTTTCCTTCAGACCACAAGTTTAATGGAAGGAGCCTCCTCAGTAGCAGGAAAAAGAACCAATTGACCAAGGGGACCCGCTAAACAAAGTGTGTTCTATTCATACAAAGGACTCCTTTGCCTTTGTCACTGTTAAATGAATGAGATAATTCTCTACCTACTGCTGTGGGGAGACTACTTACAGGACAAATGAGAGTGAAAGAAACATCTTTACCAGTAAGGTGTGTGTGTGGCTAGGAAGTAAAAAGTCCATGCCAAATTGTTCCTAGTAGTCTCTGGTGAGGGGGTATTGGAGTTGAGAAGTTTCCTATTTTTAGCTTCCAAATATTTTTTACACTCCCGTCAGTTGAAACATACTCCAATCTCCAATACTCCTCAGATCTCCAATCCTGCCAAAAATCCAGGCCCGCGGCCTTAGACCACGGAAACTGGGGTGAGCCCCAAACCCCGGCCTCTCTCACCCCCAGTGTCCGCGCGCCCAACCCCTCTTCTCCCAAACACAGGAATCCTGACCCCAGCCTCTCCGCCATCTGACCCAGGGGTCCAGACCCCCAGCCCCTGCACCCTCAGACCCCAGGTCCCGCCTTCCGGACGCTGCGTCACCGCTCCGGCCCGGCCTCTCACCAGGCCAGCTCTGCGCCCCGTGGGCGCTTTCCCACAATGGCGCCCTGTCCCTCCCCGCACCGGCCGCGCCTCCCGCTCCGGGGCTGGGACTTACCCCGGGTTCCGCCCCTCAGCGTCGACCCCGCCTCTGCAGCCACAGCTCGCGCCACTGTCGCGCGGGCAATTCCAGACGTCTAGCTTTCCGGCCCCGCCCGCCCGCCAGGGCTTTTTTCCTCACAGCCCATCTTTGGTGCTGTCCTCAGATTTGCCTGACGCGGGTCACTTCACATTATTTTCCCAGTGTGTTCTCGCTCCGTTTGTCCACCTCCGGATACAATGTGTTATTGGCTATTCTGGAAGATTCTGAGGGAAACAAGCATCATTCCCTTCAGCAATCATCAAAGCTGGGTTTCTCCAACAGGCGCGCGTCCTGGACGCCTCGGGCGCGGCCCGGCCTGGCGCCGCGGGCGGGCCTTGCGAGCGGCGCGCTCTATAAAGTGGGGCGAGCGCCAAGGCGCGCACGCTTTCGAGAGGGTAAGGGTTGGTTTGTGTGTCGTTCTTTTTTCTCCTGTCTGTGTGGCGGGGCGTTGGGATGAGGGACACGCGTGCCGCGAGGGCTGGGAGTCGGAAGGAGCAGGTACGCGGTCTCTTGGACCGGGCCTTCGTCTGCACCGGGCGAGCCTAGGTGTTCCCTGTGGAGATGGTGGTGGCATTTGTGGGGTACTCGGTGGGTGGCGATTCCTACGGCTGGGGCGAGCGGGTATTGGGAGTGCGGGAGGCGGGCCCTCAGTCTGCACCGCGGCCGGGCTTCGCCGTTTATGTTGCCCGCGTCGCTGGTCTCCGCCATCTTGATCTCGGCGCGGGCGTTGGGGGGTGACTGAGTTGTTCCTAAGGTTCTCTACCCGCTAGCTACAAGTGCTTTCCTCAGTTTGGGCGGCTGGCATTTTTTGTACAACCCAGAAGAAGGACCTTGGGGGCTGGAAGAGGAAGGGATGTCTCTGTAGGGGCAGAGACAGACTGTCGACTTATTATCAAAGTGGGAGTGAGGTTTATAAGTGAGTTACCAGGTAGGAGTGGCCTTAGGAGAAAGCAAAGGAGGCCTTTGTTCCCGTGCAGGAATCATTCTCACAGTTCGCATCAACTACCAAAGGATTTTGCTAGCGTCAGGTTTGGGCTTCAGTCCTTAAGGTCGTCTGGATAACCGATTTCCCTACTGCTGAGCGATGCCACAACCTGCCAAGGAGGCCCAGCCGGAGGCAGGTAGCTGAGTTTCTTTCACGACACAACAAAGATCCCCTCAGTCATATATCCTAACTACAGGCAGCCCCCAGATTACAGAAGACCGGACTGAGTCCTTTCTGCACTTACGAACAGGCTTCCAAAGCCCCTCAACACTTATAATTAAATGATTAAATTAATAAGGGGAACTAAGTTTCTTCCACGCATGTGAACAAACCCGTATGACATAAGCAGTTTGCTGGCTTATCAGTCTGTATTTACTCTTACTGCCATGCCTCCAAAGCGAAAGTTCACTTCAAGTCTAGGATGGTTACAGTGGAAACTAAGGTGGACATAACTAAACGTTTGGAGAAAGGCCAGACGCCATCATTCATTGGGAAAGCACTAGGTTTTAATTGCTCCACTATGGAACACTTACTGATATTAAGGAGAAAGTGAGAATGATGGAACATGTGAAGTGGAGCTCGCAGTGAAAGTGTCAGTTATTACTAAGCGAGCATAGTGGATTAAGTTATTGAAATGGAAAAGTTACGATTTGGTTAGGAGATCAGAAAAAATGTAACATTCCTATTAGCTGCAGGGACTGGGCAAGGCATTTTCAGTGATTCAAAGCTGTATGTGTAAAAAGCAGAGGCAGTGTGATGAAGAATTTGTCTGGAAGGAATGTTGTTTAATCATTTTAAAGGCCAGGTGCAGTGGCTCAGGCGCTGTAATCCTAGCACTCTGGAAGCTGAAGCGGGGGCGGATTGCTGGAGGTCATGAGTTAAAAAACCATCCTGAGCAAGAGCAAGACGCCCATCTCTACTATAAATATAGAGAAATTAATTGGCCAACTAACATATATACATAGAAAAAATTATGCATGGTGGTGCATGCCTGTAGTCCCAGCTACTCGGTAGGCTGAGGCAGCAGGATTGCTTGAGCCCAGGAGTTTGAGGTTGCTGTGAGCTAGGCTGATGCCATGCCACTCACTCTAGCCTGGGCAACAAAACGTGACTCTGTCTCAGAAAAAAAAAAAGTTTTAAAAATAGGGCAATGTAAATTTTCTGTTTTTTTGTAAAGATAAGGTCTTGCTCTTGCTCAGGCTGGTCTCTAACTCCTCACCTCAGCTGATCCTCCGGCCTAGGCCTCCCAGAACGCTAGGATTACAGGCATGATCCACTGCCCGGCCACGTCTGAATTTTTAATACTGCCATTTACCATCTGTTTTGTATTTGTTGTTTTTAAGTCATCTCCAAAATGTTTTTTATAACTGATTTGTTCAAACTGGGTTTAGTCGAGGGTCTCTGGTCATTGCTTATATTGCTTACAGCCTGGCTTTGGTTTTACTCTAGAATAGCCCCCTTCCTCCTCTCAGTGGGTTCTTCCTGGGGATTTGCATATTGGTAGCTTTCCCTGTTCAGGGTTACTAGCAGGTATAGCTAGTGCTGAGAAAATCTGCAAAACTGGGCAAGGGAGGAGTGGACATTAGGACTCTCTTCATGTAGTGGGTTTAGAAGCCTATCTCAGGTTGGGCGCTGTGGCTCACGCCTGTAGTCCTGGCACTCTGGGAGGCCGAGGCAGGCAGATTGCTCAAGGTCAGGAGTTTGAAACCAGCTCTGAGCAAGAGCGAGACCCCGTCTCTACTATAAATAGAAAGAAACTAATTGACCAACTAATATATATATAGAAAAAAATTAGCCAGGCAGGTGGCGCATGCCTGTAGTCCCAGCTGCTTGGGAGGCTGAGGCAGCAGGATTGCTTTAGCCTAGCCAGGAGTTTGAGGTTGCTGTGACCTACGCGGATGCCACGGCACTCACTCTAGCCTGGACAACAAAGTGAGACTCTGTCTCAAAAAAAAGAAGCCTATCTTAGGACAGTCTCCTGTGGACCTCTTGACATTGGGGAGGTAGGGACATCCCAGTTTCTCCATCAGCAGAACTGCTCATTCATTTCCTTCCTGATGGGTTTTGTGTTTCCTAGGTTCTAAGCTCTGCAAGACTGGGGCTCCAATGATGTCTAGCACTGGGCTCCGATCACCCCTGAGGACACAGTGCCCCCCAGGACCTTTGACACCTGGGGGTCTGAGGGGCCCCGGTTTTGACGTTCTCCTAGACTTGAAGACTGTTTCCTCTCCCCCTAACAAGTTCTTCTGTGTTACAGGTGTATCTTCAAGCTGAAGGGCCACCTTCTACCACCCCCATCATGGTAAGAAGCCTTGCCCCTGCTCCCTGACCTCCCAGGTTTAACATACCTCACCATGTAGGCTGACTTCAAAACAAATCTCTGGGACCTAATTTATATGCCAACAGTTATGCTCAGGATTCACATATACTAAACATAGCTGTGGAGAACCAGGCAGGCAGCCTGGGTCCCCATCCCAGCTCTGCTGCTCATGGGCTTGGAGATGTTCATCAAGGGATCCTGAGCCTTGGTTGCTATGTCTAGAGAAAAAATATTTAACATTCAGAGAAAAGAACTAATCAGAAACCTAACTGTCAAACGGCAGTGAGAATTCAGCAGAAAGGTTCTCAACATTATCTCCTGTCACATGGAGGGTTTTGTACATGAAATACAGTGTACTTTGAAGCAAAGCTTAGTCTCCAGATAATCATGTACATAAAACTCATACAATTGAGCACTTAATTTACATGATAACCATTGCTGAAGTTACAGGATTTATCTGGGGGGTGTTGCACAAATGTTTCAAAAAGCTACATCAGGCCGGGCGAGGTGGCTCAGGCCTGTAATCTTAGCACTCTGGGAGGCTGAGGAGGGCATATTGCTTAATGTCAGGAGTTTAAAACCAGCCTGAGTGAGACCCCATTTCTACTATAAATAGAAAAAAATTAATTGGCCAACTAATATATAGAGAAAAAATTAGCCAGGCTTGGTGGTGCATGCCTGTAGTCCCAGCTACTAGGAGTGCGGGAGGCGGGCCCTCAGTCTGCACCGCGGCCGGGCTTCGCCGTTTATGTTGCCCGCGTCGCTGGTCTCCGCCATCTTGATCTCGGCGCGGGCGTTGGGGGGTGACTGAGTTGTTCCTAAGGTTCTCTACCCGCTAGCTACAAGTGCTTTCCTCAGTTTGGGCGGCTGGCATTTTTTGTACAACCCAGAAGAAGGACCTTGGGGGCTGGAAGAGGAAGGGATGTCTCTGTAGGGGCAGAGACAGACTGTCGACTTACTATCAAAGTGGGAGTGAGGTTTATAAGTGAGTTACCAGGTAGGAGTGGCCTTAGGAGAAAGCAAAGGAGGCCTTTGTTCCCGTGCAGGAATCATTCTCACAGTTCGCATCAACTACCAAAGGATTTTGCTAGCGTCAGGTTTGGGTTTCAGTCCTTAAGGTCGTCTGGAACACCGATTTCCCTACTGCTGAGCGATGCCACAACCCTGCCAAGGAGGCCCAGCCTGGAGGCAGGTAGCTGAGTTTCTTTCACGACACAACAAAGATCCCCTCAGTCATATATCCTAACTACAGGCAGCCCCCAGATTACAGAAGACCGGACTGAGTCCTTTCTGCACTTACGAACAGGCTTCCAAAGCCCCTCAACACTTATAATTAAATGATTAAATTAATAATGGGGGACTTAGTTTTTTTCCCGGCTTTTGACCAACCCGTTTTGCCTTAGGCGTTTTGTTGGTTTTTCGTTTTTTTTTTCTTTTTACTGCCATGCCTCCAAAGCGAAAGTTCACTTCAAGTCTAGGATGGTTACAGTGGAAACTAAGGTGGACATAACTAAACGTTTTGAGAAAGGCCAGACGCCATCATTCATTGGGAAAGCACTAGGTTTTAATTGCTCCACTATTGGAACACTTACTGATATTAAGGAGAAAGTGAGAATGATGGAACATGTGACAGGTGGAGCTCCAGTGAAAGTGTCAGTTATTACTAAGCAGCATAGTGGATTAATTATTGAAATGGAAAAGTTACTGATTTGGTTAGGAGATCAGAAATAAATGTAACATTCCTATTAGCTGCAGGGACTGGGCCAAGGCATTTTCAGTGATTCAAAAGCTGTATGTGTAAAAAGCAGAGGCAGTGTGATGAAGAATTTGTTGGAAGGGAATGTTGGTTTAATCATTTTAAAGGCCAGGTGCAGTGGCTCAGGCCTGTAATCCTAGCACTCTGGGAAGCTGAAGCGGGCGGATTGCTGGAGGTCATGAGTTAAAAAACCATCCTGAGCAAGAGCAAGACGCCCATCTCTACTATAAATATAGAGAAATTAATTGGCCAACTAACATATATACATAGAAAAAATTATGCATGGTGGTGCATGCCTGTAGTCCCAGCTACTCGGTAGGCTGAGGCAGCAGGATTGCTTGAGCCCAGGAGTTTGAGGTTGCTGTGAGCTAGGCTGATGCCATGCCACTCACTCTAGCCTGGGCAACAAAACGTGACTCTGTCTCAGAAAAAAAAAAAGTTTTAAAAATAGGGCAATGTAAATTTTCTGTTTTTTTGTAAAGATAAGGTCTTGCTCTTGCTCAGGCTGGTCTCTAACTCCTCACCTCAGCTGATCCTCCGGCCTAGGCCTCCCAGAACGCTAGGATTACAGGCATGATCCACTGCCCGGCCACGTCTGAATTTTTAATACTGCCATTTACCATCTGTTTTGTATTTGTTGTTTTTAAGTCATCTCCAAAATGTTTTTTATAACTGATTTGTTCAAACTGGGTTTAGTCGAGGGTCTCTGGTCATTGCTTATATTGCTTACAGCCTGGCTTTGGTTTTACTCTAGAATAGCCCCCTTCCTCCTCTCAGTGGGTTCTTCCTGGGGATTTGCATATTGGTAGCTTTCCCTGTTCAGGGTTACTAGCAGGTATAGCTAGTGCTGAGAAAATCTGCAAAACTGGGCAAGGGAGGAGTGGACATTAGGACTCTCTTCATGTAGTGGGTTTAGAAGCCTATCTCAGGTTGGGCGCTGTGGCTCACGCCTGTAGTCCTGGCACTCTGGGAGGCCGAGGCAGGCAGATTGCTCAAGGTCAGGAGTTTGAAACCAGCTCTGAGCAAGAGCGAGACCCCGTCTCTACTATAAATAGAAAGAAACTAATTGACCAACTAATATATATATAGAAAAAAATTAGCCAGGCAGGTGGCGCATGCCTGTAGTCCCAGCTGCTTGGGAGGCTGAGGCAGCAGGATTGCTTTAGCCTAGCCAGGAGTTTGAGGTTGCTGTGACCTAGGCGGATGCCACGGCACTCACTCTAGCCTGGACAACAAAGTGAGACTCTGTCTCAAAAAAAAGAAGCCTATCTCAGGACAGTCTCCTGTGGACCTCTTGACATTGGGGAGGTAGGGACATCCGCACTGGGTCAGGACAGGAAAGAGGAAAGGGACCTGTAGCATGTAAGGGTTCTAAGCCATAGAACTGCCAAGTTGTAAATGTTCCTCCCATTGTCCATTCTGGTGGCCACTGACCAGAGGAGGGTCTTAAGCACCTTGAATGTGGCTAGTGTGTGTAGGAACTGGGTTTCTAATTTATTTTATTAGTTTAACATTTGAGGAGCAGTTGCCTCTTTGAACAGCATGGTCCTACACAGAGTAGATTTCTGTGTTGCTAAATAGCATCTGACACTCAGCGAGCAGTTGCTGTGTTGTAGTTCTTGGGGGAGAATGAACTCAGCAAATCCTACCAGGGTCCCAGGGAGTGGCAGCTGACCTTCCCTGGGCGAAAACTCTGGTGAATTCCCTTCTAGAGTTACAGGGCTAGGCAGTTTGTAAGAGCTGGGTAGGGGGAAGGAAGCCCACCTGAGGTGTGGGCAGAAGCAGTCAAGGAGTGTGCTCATTAGGGTGGGATGTCTGACCAGACTGGGTCTGAGCAGGGCTGGGTCAGACCCTCTCCTCTCACTGAACTCTGCAGGTGTGCCCTCTGCTGGTCATTTCTAGTCCCATTTTTCCATAGGGAGAAACAATCTGAGGGCAGCTTAGGTCAGTTGATTGCAAATCATATACAAGGAGCAACACCCAGCTTCAGCTGGACAGTAAGGGGTGACCTTAGGGACCTCACATTAGAAAGTAAGCCCTGAGGACTTGCCTCATCACCCACAGGGGCCAGGTAGAAAGGTTGTTTTTTTTGCCAGGATCTCTTGAGTTGTCTACTGCCTTGTCCCCCTAGGACAGTAAGTGGCACTGGGGCCTCCATGATGTCCAGCACTGGGCTCTGATCCCCACTGAGGACACTGTGCCCTCTGGGACTTTGACACTCAGGGGTCTGAGAGGCCCCAGCTCTGGGGAGGGGATGATGGAGGTGCCATGGCTGCCCTGCACCCCACTGACATCCTCCCTCCATCCCCCATGTCTTGTTCCCTCCTGCCTACAGGTGGCTCCTCCAGGCATTGGACGCCCAGCCCAGCCATCCCTCTCGGTAAGATCAAGAGGCTGCCTCTTATTAGCGGTGGCAGTAATACTGCTCACACAAGTTAATGCTGAGTGTTTGCTCTGAGCCAGGCGCTGTTCTAAGCACTGGAATTGTTTAACATGCTTAGTGCAACAGTAGAAAAACACAATGTTTTCCTGGGGCCACGGTGTTTTATTATGAAAATAGAATAAAAACTTTGAAAACAAAATGATCCTTGGTAATTTGAGGAAAAATTTGTTATTTTTTATTATTTTCTTTGCATGAGTTATATGCAACTCACGCAGTGCTAGAATCAATTTTTACACTGTACACCACGTCATTGTTGTATGTGACTCATGACATAATTCGTGAATTTATTCCTGAGAATGGATGTTTTGTCATTCCACAGGTATTTAGTTGTGTCTGGAGTAGACCTTGGGTGGTCCTGGATGACAGCCTCTGAATCATACCCACTAAGTATGTGCAACAGTTTCACGTTGCCACATGGTGTTCCACTGATTTTGTTCAAAGGGCTGCCAGGCAAACATTCGGGGGAAATGCGCAATCGGGAGTTACGGTGATCGGAGAATACAGTCCAGCACGTGTGGCGCACTTGGGCAGGCCCGCTGAAACAGGTATAACTTCTGTGACCAGAGCTCTGATCGTCACATAAGTTTATTTTGCGTTTTTTTGTTCTCGAGAAAATGTCTAGGAAAAATGAGCGTAAAGAATTATTGGAAGAAATGGTGAACAAAGTTTTGGACCCGAGTGACGAAGATGTTGATCTATTTAGTGATGATTCAGAGGAGTGCTGTCCTAGTGGAGATCGTGGAGACAGTTCTGATAGCAGTTGCAGCCCACCGAGAAAAGCTAGAGGAACATTACATGCAGATCTTTCTAGTGGGAAAGGTGGTTCAAAATTGATTACTGAAACAATTGAAGCAGTTGTAGCCGATTTCAGGGAGAGTGATTCTTCAGACATTTCTGAAGAACCTGTAGTGACTAGTGTAAGTTCTCTGACCTGGGGTCCAGTGTCAGGAAGTAACATGAAGATTTTTGACTTCATTGAAAGTAACGCTGGTGTTCCCACTGGAGTTGCAGTAAATCTCTGTGAAAAAACACCTTATGATTTTTTCAAATTCTTCATAACAGATGATGTGATTGACTACATGGTGAAGGAAACTAATATCTATGCCAGTCAGACTTTACAAAAGGGTAATGTCAAACCCCACTGCCGACTAAAAAAGTGGTATGATGTTACTTCTCAAGAAATGGAGCGATTTTTGGGAGTATTGTTTTGGATGGGCCTTAACAAGAAGCCAAGACTTTCGGACTATTGGTCAAAAAACATTTTGTATGACAATTCATTGGAAAGGTTTATATCACATAACCGCTTCGAAATGCTTCTGAGAATGTGGCATTTCTCTAACAATGAAGAATGTCCTCCTGGTGACCATCTCTTCAAGATCCAGCCACTTCTTGATCATCTTCTTGAAAGGTTTCAGGTTGCTGTAGTTCCAGGTAAGGAAATATGTATTGACGAAACAACAATGCCATTTCATGGCCGTTTGAGTTTCATGCAGTACATAAACAAGTGCCATAAATTTGGAATAAAACTTTTGAAACTCTGCCTAAAAGACGGTTACACCTGGAATGTGAAAGTTTACTGTGGGAAGGAAGCAAAATCTAGCATTGCTGTTTCATCCTCAGTTGTCATGAAGCTATTGGAAGGTTTACTAGATAGTGGGCGTGTTTTGTACACAGACAGTGAATACACCAGTGTCCACCTAGCTCATCAACTCCTTGAGCACTCTACGTATCTGGTGGGCACGCTGAGAAGTGGCAGGAAGCTAACCCCGACAGATGTAGTGCAGGCAAAACTGAACAAGAACGAATTAATAGCTCGAGAAAGTGATACAGGAGTCGTCATCCTCAAATGGAAGGACAAGAGAGATGTCCTCATGCTAAGTACTATGCATGGCAAAGACAATAAAGCAGTTGAAACGAGAAAAGGTGTTGTGGAAAAACCTCATATGATTGTGGATTATAATAATTCGAAGTCGTTCATTGACCTCTCAGCTAAACTGAGGGTGTATTCGTGTTCTTTGAGACATGGCATAACGTGGTTCAGAAAATTAGCCATAGAGCTAATCACAGGATCAGCTTTGGTGAACTCGCTCGTGCTCTACAGAGCTGTGAACAAAAAGAAGATCTCGATCACAAAGTTCAAAGAACAAGTTTGCCTCAGACTGCTCCAGACAGATGCAACACCTCCTGCAGTGCTGTCCCTCCCGATGCCATCTGTGACTTGTTCCCTCAGGAATATGGGCACTGCCAGAAGAAGATGTACTGTGTGCTACGAGAGAACACAAGCTGAGAAAGGGTGGGAATATGCCATGAAGAGGTGTAAACAGACAGCATGGAGATGCAGCAAGTGCAATGCGTACTTTTGTGTAGAATGCTTTTTCCTAAAACACACATCAATAAAAAAGTAGTATTAAAACTTGAAAAAGTTGAAAAGGCTAAAGTGTATTTTTGACTTTTCAAGCTTAAGTGTAATACAAAGGTGAGCATAAATAGAAAATTGAAGTTTATTGACTTCATTTAATCTACGTTATTAGAATTGTCAATGCTAATTGCAACAATAAGAACATAAACAAATAAGATTTTTCACAAGCCAACTGCAGAGTGTTTGCCCAGGTGCCACCCATCACATGTTGCCTGGGTGCCACATGGCTCCGAAGGTACACATGTGAGTCATGTGTTTCACAAGACCATGGGCTCAAGACCAGTGTGAGTTATAGACAAGTCACATGGCAGTTAATGTGTTAACCTTCATATGCACCAGGGCCAGGGTGTCATAAGACAAAGTAGGTGTTGGGGGGTTGGGTTGCAGTGAGATGTCCTATGTCAGGGTTCCTGAAGAGGCTGTACTTTGGGACACCTGTGATGTCTAGGACTGAGCTCTGACTGCCCATGAGGACACTTACCCCCTAGACCTTTGTCACCCAAGCGTCTGAGGGGCCCGACTCCCACACGGTGCTGTGTGAGGGTGCGGCCATTTCCCCGTGCCCTGTGCCTCTTCTGTGTCCTTCCCAGCAGCGTCTCTCTGGGCTCTGCAGTTTCCTGCCTGGGAGCCACCAAGGCCTTGGCTAAGAGCGTTGGCGCCCGCCTAGGCAGGCCGGTGGGGAGCAGGGGTGCCAGTTCTGCTTGTACTACATGTACACTGAGCTCCTGGCAGGACCCCAGCCAGCTCATGGTCACCTGGATCCTGTAGGCCTATGACCAGGTGGCCAGGCCCTTCCCTGAACTCCAAGGAGCCAGTGCTGCTAGCCTGACCCTGAGTGCTGTCTTCATCTACCACTGCGAGCCCATGTAGGGGGACAGCTGTGCGTCACTGCTCACCTGCCTGCTGGTGGCCTGGTGCCAACACTGAGTCCTTCCTGATCTTCGAGGCCACCAAGCTGCCCTTTGGCCCTGGGCTACCATAAAAGGAAGGCCGATTGCTATGCCACTCTTGGCCCCCTCATCTCCCTTCTTGCCCAAGCTGCCTAAGGGCTTGCCCTTCACCCAGGGACAGCAGTGGCACCTGCTGACAGCAGCGCCCTCAGAGCTACTGCGGTCACTGCTCGGCCAAGGGTGTGGCAGTGCTGGTGGCGGTCATGGAGAGCCAGGTGGTGGCCACACTGGGCTCATGCTGGGGCCCAACCCAACGCCCATTCACCTCACTGGCTGGCTCCTCTGCCCTGACATGACCAGGGAGAATGTGTGTAAACAGCCACCGAGGTCCTAGAGCTGTATATCAGGGAAGAGGCACAGACCCCACTGCTCTGTCATTGTGACCAGGCTCGAGGGGAGGAGCCTCCAGCTCCATGGCTAGCCGCTGGGGTGGGAGGGAAAGGTCCAGGAGAGCTGCCTTCACTTTGAGTTGGGGGAGTCAGGGAGACTGGGACATCGTTAGGAGGAAAAAAAGCCTTGGTCAGTGCTTTGCCAGTGTCTCTCTCCAGCTTCCTGTGGGCCAGCCATGCTGTTACACCATGTTCTATGGCCCCAGAAGAAGGGTGTCCTTGTCCCCAACTCCCCCTATGGGTGTCACTGGCTAGAGTTGATGGGGGAGAAAGCTCTGGTGGCCACTTGCACAAGTCCCTGGGTGCAGTGGCTTCCCTGGAGGGAGCAAGCCCCTGGGACACAGTGAGCATCCTGTTACAGGGTGGGCACGATGGTGTGTCTGCCCCTCTGCCACGTGGGCCCCCAAAGCACTACAGGCCAGGAGGGAGACCCCATGGCCCGTGATGTGAAAGGATCTTGAAATTTTTACTCTGATTTTTTTTTAATGTATTTTTACTCAATACTTTGAGCATACGTGACACTTTGGTTTTATTTCTCCCTTTGTGAAGGTTTTTCTCAAGATTTTGTTGGTTTCTTTGCTGTGCCTTCCCCTTTGATTTTGCTGTCTCCTATTTTATGGGCGTCCAGTCCTTTCAGATAGATCTGGTCTCTCTAGCTACTTGTGTGGCCTCAGGCCCGTCCGGGTTCCAGGGGGGCTAGGTTTAGGGTGTGTTGGGGCAACGATGACAGATGACAGCTTGGTGAGGACAGCCCTGGCAGTTCTGGCTAAACAGCTCGGGTGCTGGGCACTCAGGCACCATTAAATGGCAGAGAATATCACTCTGTGTGGACTGGGTGATTGAACTGGGTTCTGGGGTCCCCAAGGACAGGGCAGGAGCCCAGCTCTGCGTGGGCCGTCTGAGCAGACCGCTGAGGATGGGTGCACCCTAGGCAGCCCACGTGAGAGCTGGTCACAGTGACAGCCTCACCTAGCACTTTGGGTCTTCATGAACCTACAGGCAAGAAGCTGGGGCCAGACAGTAGAGAGGGATTTCAGCCTTGCCCGGCCACGGCGGCTGGCATCTCTAGGGATGGCAGGGTAGTGGGCAGGTCATGGGGGGGGTGGTCCCCAGGGGTGGTCCAGAGGCTGCCTTCAGGCCCCGGGGCAGTTTTCCACTATGCCTGGGAAGGGAACTATGCTGGTGGCCCCATTATGGAGGAGGGATTGTCCCAGCTGCTCCATGTGAGAAGGGGACCACTCTAAGGCTGCTGGCCCCAGACCCAGCTCCTTGCTTTCTCCTGGAATGCTGGGATATTTGTCAGGCTGGTGGCTGGGAGTGGCTCTGTGTCCCCGTCACCAAAGCCCTTTGAGCCTCCCTCTGGCTACCCCATCTAATGAGTGCCAGGTGGCTGCAGCTGAGCACTCAGCACGCCAGGCTGCCCTCGACGGTCTGGTCAGGCAATGGTGCGGACGAGCCTCTGGTGCTTCTGTCCCCGCCACAGCAGAGGAGGCAGCTGCCCCACCCCGGGGTAAAGCGGCCCCGTCCCCCACAGAGCTCCGCAGCGCCTGCTGTCCTAGCACTAGGCACCAGTAACTCCTCACCGTCAGCGTCTTAAGTTTAAATAGCCACACGTGGTCCCCACCTGCTCCAAATCAGTTTCAGCAGGTGACACGACGGGCAGCCCAAGAAAATGTCCTCAGCGCCCCTGCTCTCTGCTTGTCCCTGGGAGGCTCATTTCGGGGGTCGTGGAGCAGTGCCAGCTGGCTGGCGCTGGGGCCGGGCTGCTGCGTCTTCTGCGAGCCTCCCTCTGCCAGTCCGCCTGGCCCCAGCCCCGGCCCCGAGGGCACCCTGACGCTGAAAGCTGGCGAGGGTCTGACTCCTGTGAGCACGTGGCCCACAGTGAGGCTCACCACAACTAGGTTTTGTCACGTATTTGCGCAGGAACGTGTGCCACACACAGACACGCCAGCATGTATATACAGACGTACCGCCCAAGCACAGAGTCAACACGCATGTCCATACACCCACCGTGCAGGTGTACACGCACCCACACGTGCCACCTCAACACAGACGTGCACACGCACACAACTGTGGCTTCCAGGCCAGGGAACCCACCCAGCCTTTGTCCGCTACACGCACAGTGAGTCACAGAAGCCAGAGCAGCGAGTGTGCACACATGTTGGGATCCAGTGTCAGCTAGGGGGAGGGGGTTCCCCGGTTTCCGGCTCACACGGGACCCCCCCAGGCCCGCAGGCAGCTCGGTCTCCAGGCCAGCAGGCCCAGCCCCAGGCACAGGGCCGCCAGCACGGCCACGGCTCCGGCCAGCAGGGGCACCACGGGGGCTGTGGGGAGAACATGCAGGTCGTGAGTTCCAGGACTCAGTCCCCCGCAACTCCCACCCCAGCACGGAGGACTGTCACCTCGGGGGGCGGCAGTCTCGTAGGAGCCATGGCAGGGGACCCCGTGAGCTGGAGGCCGGACTGGGGTGGTCAGCTGGTGGAAGCGGCTGAGTGGGCAGGGCTCTGGGCACCCCGGGAGGCTGAGAGACAGGGGCAGGCGGGCCGAGTCGTTGCGGTAGAAGAGGGAGATGGTGACATTCCTGGAGGGAGAGAGCAGACGGTGGCACCTCCCTGCCGCTGACCTTAACACCTGGAGAAACAGGCTCCTGATTCCCACCTGTCAATCTCCTGACACCATCCTACGCCATTCCCCCTGCAGGCCGCTCCTCCCTCGCTGTGCCCTCTGCCCAGCACGCCACCCCTCTTGAAAGGTCTGTCCCACCCATTCCCCGGGTGCCACCCCGTCCTCACCCTCCATCTTCGTCCACATCCCCGAGGCGCCTCCGGAACTCAAAGCCAAGACAGGCAGCATACGGCGGGGCGTGGCCATCGTAGAGGCCCAGGGCCCCCTGGAGGGCCAGCAGGGTGCTGTCATGCTGCGGGCGGGTCCGAGGGCTGAGACAGGCTCCTCTCCTGAGGTCTCCTCTCTCCTGAGCTCTAGACTTGTGCGCCCAGCTGCCACCCAGATGTCCCCCAGGCTCCTTAGAACTAACCCTGCCGACCTGCTCCTCCCTCCCTCTCTTCCCGAAGTGCCACCAGTTACAGGCATTCATTTAGTAAAGATTGGTCAAATAGATGCAAAATAAGGTTGGACAGCTCCATTAAACAACCTGTCCTTCCAGAGGAGCTCAATTCTTTCTCCCAGGACGCCATCACCTCCCTCCTTCCTGAATCTATACCTCTAGTGATACGGTCCAAGAGTAAGGTTTGGAGATATGGGTTACCCAAGGCCCTGGGCTGAGGTTCCACTGGGACCAGAGGCTGTTCCTCACACAAATGGCCATCGCCCTCATCCCTGTGCCCACTGCCTCCTTTCCCGAGCACTCACAGCTGAGTACATGACCATCTTGAGGGGCAGCCCGAGGCGCTGGACCCGGGAGAAGTTGGAGAGGATAGCATCCAGCAGGATCCCTGAGAGGGCGGGAGCAGAGAGCTCGGAACCCCTGAGAGGAAGGTGCCCCCACCCCCCGGGCTCCACACCTCACCCCCTGTCAGCTGGGCTTTCTCTGCCGCCCGAGGGGGGCCCACGTGGGCCCCGATATCCAAAGTGGAGATCTGGGCGAGTGTCCTCAGGACATCTGGGGAGGCCCACGATGGGAGGGGAAGGCCGTGGGCTTGCTGTAAGAGATGGAAAGAGGACAAAGAGACGGGCCCTCCCAGGCCTGTGCGACACCCCCTCCCCTCCCCCCTGCCCCGTCTGAGCCCCTCCTCCCTCACGGGCTGGGCGTGGCCAGGAAATCATGGCGTGGAAAACAGTGATAATTGCTAACAGCAGCCACCGTCACTGCGCAGTCCAGAAGGCTTTATCTGAAACTCCTGGGGCCACAGGTGTTTCCGAATTCAGATGTTTGGATTTTAGGAAGGCGTGATGGTGCCAGTACTGTCCAGCGCGTACCACACAGCGACATTCCCACCGTGTGACACGGAACACTCCCATGAAGTGGCGGAAGCAAGACTGTTGCAAGCACCGCGTCACTTCGGGTCAGCTCCCGCTGCCCAAGTTTGGGGTTTTGCAGTTACGGGACTTTGGGGGGGAAATTGCCAACGTGTATATAGCCTCAGACCCAAGTGTGGCCCTCGCTACCCAGTGTGCTAGGTGCTGTTGTAGCAATTATGTGGATTAACCTGTTTGGATCTTCACAGCATCCCCGGGAGGTGCTGATATGGGTGTTGCCATCCCCTTGTGCAGATGGGGAAACTGAGGCGCGGAGGGTTAAGAAACTTGCCTGAGGGAACACAGCTAGCAAGTGGCAAAGCTGGGATTTGAAACCAGGTTGGCTGGGAGGGGGTGAGGACTCACCTGGCAGATCAGTGTGTCTAGAACTTTCCATGCCCTCCGGAGCGGCTCTCCAACCAGCGACAGCCCGGTGAAGTTCTCCAGGCGCGTCAGGAAGTCCTGGATGCACCGGGCGGGGTGAGCCTCGCCTGTCCCCTCTGCCCTGGCCCGCCCCGCCCCACCCCGCCCACGTCCACAGCCCAGCTCACCGTCCAGCCCTCCAGGGCCTCCTGGTACTCGGCGGCCTCGGTGGTCTCCCGAAGCAGTTCGTGGTACCGGGGACAGCTGCGCATGGGGAACCTCAGCAGCTGGGGGAAACCGAGGCTCAGAGAGGACAGCAGCGTGCCTGGACTCACACAGCACGCAGGGTGGCTGGGGCTCTCGGCCCTGGCCCCGGGATGGCCTCGCTGCCCCGAGCAGGCACAGGCTTCCAGAAGCCCACACAGCCGGGCCTGGAGCTGCCTCTGTCTCCGTCTGGTCCAGTGACTCTGTCCCCCTCTGTCTGTGATCCTGTCTCTGTCTCTCTCCACCCCTCCCCCTCCCCCTCCCCTCCCACTCCCGCCCAGCCCCCTGACCTTGTCCTCGGTGACGGGCACCGTGTGCACAGGGATGGGCCTCCAGTGGGCCTCCGAGCCCCCTGGGGCGGCCTCAGGGAACAGCCCGGCCAGGTTGGCCTGAGCGCTCTCCAGCGTCCGGTCAAAGTCTGTGCTGCGAATGTACACCTGGTGGGGAGAGAGCACACGGGGACCGTGGTCCGGGTCACAGCTGTGGCCACAGATCAAAAGCTGCGGATTCAGCCGGCGGTAGGCTAAAGGTCATGAAAGGGGATCAAAGGTCAGGCATCAGGAGTCAAAACTCGGGTGGGTTTGAGCATCCAAACTTTGATGTTGGAAGTTGGGATCAAGGGTCAGAGATCAATGTCAGGAGCATTCAAATTGGAGGTCAGAAGTTGGGGGAACATGTTGGATTAAGGGGGGTCAATTGAGTCAGTGAGGGTCAAAAAAGAAGATCAGAATCGGTGGAGGCTGGAGGTTAGAGGTCAAGATGAGCAGGGCAGGTTGGAGGACTCGGGGTCAGAGTTTAGTATATGTCAGAGGTCATACATAGATCAGGGGGACTGATCCTAATTGGGTGATGTTAGAAGACAGGAGACGGGAAAGGAAGGTCAGAATTGATGAAGCATAGAGGTCAAGGGCTGGAGGTCAGGAGGACAAGTAGAGTCAACATGGATCAAAGAATCAATCAAGTTTGAGGGTCAGAGGTCAGAGGTCTAAGGTCTGGTTGGAGTCAATGAGAGTCAGAGGTGGAGGCCAGAAAATAAAGTCAGAGTTGACAGAGGTCAGAGGTCAAGATGTGATTCTGGTTGAGATGAGGTCAGAGATCAAAGGTAGAGTACAGGTCAGGTTGATGGAGGTCAAAATCCAGAAGTGGAGGCCCAAAGGGAACATTGGAGTCAGTGGAGGTCAAAGGTGGGAGGTCAGGGGCCAGGTAGAAGTAGACATGGCAGTACCTCCTCCCGCCGGTACTTGGGACTCAGAAAGTCCTCGTAGCGGCTCCTCAGGAAGCGGCCCAGCTCCAGCTGCTGGCGGACACCCTCCTGGGGACAGAGCAGCCTCAGCAGACCCCTCCCCAGCCACTCCCACCCCTCACCTTCAGCCCGCTTCTCACCCCGGTCAGCTGGCCCAGGCCACGTGGCCACAGGGTGGAGACCACCTCCTTGTGCGGGTCCGTGGGGTAGGAGGCCAGTGGGGCCCGGTCACCATGGCGGAACACCTGGGGACAGGACTGGGTCAGGGCCGGCCTGGGGACAAGAGGGGCCGGGCCGGGCGGGTGCCTCACCAGAGCCACAAACACCAGGGGTCCTTCCAGCAGGGCCTGTGGCAGCAGCACCAACAGCAACAGGAGAAGAGGTCCGGCGGGGTGGCCCCGAAACCCTGGCCCGGCCATTTCCACCAGCCCAGACGCTGAGCTCAGCCCTCTGTCTGGGCCGCAGCCCCGCCTGCGAGTTACCCTCCGCCTGGGCACCCCCATTAGCGCAGGTCCCAGCACGCCTCCCCTGGGGCCACGGCCTCCCAGTGCAGCTCCCTCCAGGCCTTTGCCAGCCTTAGATTAACCCATTTAATCTTCATCACAGCCCCAGGAGGTGTTGATACAATTACCACCATCCCCATTGTGCAGATGGGGAAACTGAGGCATCAGGGGTTAAATAACTTGCTTGGGAAAACACCTAGTGAATGGCAAAGCTGGAATTTGAACCTAGGTACTTTTAACCTGAGCGCAGACCCAGGGAGAAAGAGCCCTGCCCCCACATTCTAGATTCACATTCTCTGTTCTCCTCCCTTCTCCCTCTCCCACTCTGAATCTGTTTTTCCTTTCCTTGCTCCTTAAATGTTGGGGTTTTTCTGAGACCCTCTTGGGCTTCTTGGAGATTTCACCTTCTTCTAGTACCACCCACAGCCGGCCAAAGGCAATGGTTGAACACTCAGACTCTGGAATAGGACAGCCTGGGTTCAAATCCCAACTTCACCCCTTATAAGCTGTGTGACTTTGGGCAAGTTACTGCACCTCTCTGTGCCTTCACAAAATGGGAGGCAAGCACAATCTGTACCACAGAGTCACTTTCAGTATTAGACAAGCTCAAATACATGCAGCACTTAGAACAGGGCTTTGTGAAGAGTAACTAGTGACAGTCATGTTATTGATTGCCATATAGCAAATGACACTAAAACGTAGTGACTTAAAGCAGTGAGCATTTATTATTTCTCACAGGTTTTGTGGGTTGTGAATTCAGGAGTGGCTTAGCTGGGCGGTCCTGGCTCAGGCCATTTCACAGGTTGCAGCTGCTCACGCACAGACCTCTCCGTGAAGCTGCTTGAGCACCCTCACAACATGGCAGCTGGCTTCCCCCAGAGCGCGTGACCCAGGACACGCAATGTCTTTTATGCCTTAGCCTCAGAAGTCACGCTCCGCCATTTCCACCATATTTTATTGTAACAGGTCGGCCCCATTCTATGAGAGAGAGAATCACACAGGGTGTGAACACCAGGCGGCGAGAATCACTGGGGCCATCTTGGGGCCTGGCTCCACAATAACGTCCTCTAAATAAATAAAGACGCCTCCTCATCGCCCACTTCCTGAGTTCTGACCAGCTGCCACCTCTGAGTCTCCCACGGGCTCACCCCATTGCCGACACAGCTCAGGCAACCCCTTTCCCCTTATGACCTCATCGCAGTGACAGTCCTGAGCCCCCAAGTTACAGAGACCAATGGTATTGGCCTTGTGTTTTATTTTCTGTACTCTAATGCTTTGACATCTGAGGCCGCCCTTACTGTAGAAGGACCACCCCTCCCAGGGCTATGGATTCCCAGAGACAGGAGAGGACGGGCCCAGGAGGCCACCTTGTATATGCAAACCAACCAACCTGAGCCCTCACCCAGCCGGGCCACTAGCCACCTGCCCTGCTACCCCAGGGAAGGTACCAGGACAGCCCTTGTGCCCTGGCCTGTGTCGAAATTGTTCAGCTAGCCGATCCCAAGCCTGCTTGCCGGCCTCATCCATTTCTTCCTGCAGAAACCACAAGACAGGGTCTCCTTGCGGAGTCCCCGTCGCGCCCCGCCCCCTGTGGCATGCTGTGCCCCTGATCTTTGGGAACCTGTGAGTATAATAAGCTGCCTTCCACAGACCCACTCAGTCAAAAATAAAAAATGAAAAAACAGTCTGTCTTTCATTGTTTCCTGATCTGCTCACACCGGATTGAGGATCAAGTGTGCAGCTCGCTGGCTGGTGGCCGAGGCCCCCTCCCTCCCTGTACAGCAGCCCCGGTCCCCTCCTGGCCGCCTTCCACCTCCAGCTCCCCTCTGCCCACTCCAGGGTCTCCACCTGACTTTAAGCAGAGACAGAGAGAGAGAAATTAAAAAAAACACATTTTGGTTTTTGAATGTACAAAGTGGCATGTGGGCTGAGCAAAGGTTAGGAGAAAACGCTGGTGCAAAATTAACTAGAAGCCATGTTCTGTCCCCAGAGATCCCAGGACCTTAACGTCCCCTTGGGTTTGGCTGCTGTGTGACTGCTGTAACAAGGCACCACTCACTCCATGGCTTAAAATGACACGCATTTGTTCCCTTACAGTTCTGGGGGACAGAAGTGCAGAATCGGTCTCGCTGGGAGGGAAGCCAGGTGCGGTCAGGGCCACGCTGCCTCCAAAGGCTCCCAGGCAGAGGTCCCCTCCTCGCCTCCCCCTTCCGTCTTCTCCCGCCTTCCAACCCAGCAGCATGCCACCTTGCTTCAGCTGTCACATTGCCTTTGGTTTCTGTCACCAAATCTCTCTCTGCCTGTCCCTCCTGCAAGGACCCTTGTGATGGCATTGGGCCACCGGGGTGCTCCAGGATCGTCTGCCCGTCCCGAGATCCTTAAGCGAATCCCACCTGCCAAGGTCACGCTTTTGCAGGATTCAGGGAGGAGGACGTGGACGCCTTGGGGGGCCACGACTCAGCCCACCACAAACACATATGGGAAAGTGTTCTGGCTCTTTCTGAGTTTGCCTGCCTGCGCGCTCCCCTGGATCCACTCTCTGCCCTTCTCCGTGGGCCCTGCCCTCCTGGCTCTGGGGGGCGGGGGTCAGGAAATTGCAGGGTGGAAGGTGCACACTGCGGCACAGGGCACAGCTCCTTGGGGCCCCTCTCTCTTGAGGAGAGGTGACATCACTGCTTCCCCTGCCACCTTGACGCCTGGGGGTGTGTATTCGTGTCCTGGGGCTGCTGTAACAACTTACCACTAGGGGGGTGGCTTAAAACGACAGGCATTCATTCTCTTGCAGTTCTGGAGGCTGGAGGTCCAAGTTCAAGGTGTCAAGCAGGGTTGCTGGTTCCTTCTGGAGACTCTGGGGGAGGATCTGCTCCAGGCCCCTCTCCCAGCTTCTGGTGTCGCCAGCAATCCTGGCTCGGGGGTGCATCCCTGCAGCCTCTGTCTCCACCGTCACACGGCCACCTCCTCCCTGTGCTTCTGCCTCTGCGACTCTTCTCTTCTTTTAAGGACTCCAGCTATGACCTCGTCCTAACTTGGTTACATCTGCAAAGATCCTATTTCCAAATAAGGTCACATTGTCAGGTACCAGAGGTGAGGACTTCAACCTATCTTTTTGGGGGACTCAATTCAACCTCCAGGCCGGGCGCGGTGGCTCACGCCTGTAATCCTAGCACTCTGGGAGGCCGAGGCGGGCGGATTGCTCAACGTCAGGAGTTCGAAACCAGCCTGAGCAAGAGCGAGACCCCGTCTCTACTATAAATAGAAAGAAATTAATCGGCCAACTAAAAATATAGAAAAAATTAGCCGGACATGGTGGTGCATGCCTGTAGTCCTAGCTACTCGGGAGGCTGAGGCAGGAAGATGGCCTGAGCCCAGGAGTTGGAGGTTGCTGTGAGCTAAGCTGACGCCACGGCACTCTAGCCTGGGCAACACAGTGAGACTCTGTCTCAAAAAAAACTTTAACCCCCAGCAGGGTGGCAGCAGCTCCCCACTGTTGCTAAGCCCCCAGGTGCTGCACTGCCCCACATGGTCCCTGCTCCCACCTTAACCCTGTCACTGCCTCCCAACATGGTCCCTGTGCTCAACTCTCTCCAGTTAGACCCTTCTGAGCCATGCTTGCTGCTTGCTCCTGAGATGCTAACACAGAACATCATTCCAGATTTTTTAATGCATTTTTTCATTTGTGTACTTCTTAACCAAAATGAGGTCACACTGAACCTGCAATTTTGTAACCTGTGTTTTCCAGGTAATTAACGATCTCCTCCTTTCCTCGGCGATAATACTGATACCCCCTCTCTATTCAAATGTCCCCCAATTTCTCCCCAAATATCCTTTATAGCTGGTTCATACGAACTAGAACCCAGTCCAGGATCACAGCAAATCTGGTCATGTCTCTTACGGATTTTTAAAAATATAGCAAGTCCACTGCCTTTGTTTTGCTTTGTGACATGGACCATTGCTTCACTAATAAATATATATATATTAATATTATATATATTTCCCCTAGAAGTAGTGGTTCAGTATACGCTGATTCAGTTAAACAACATAACCACTATAATGAGAACACATCCGCCTTGAATAAGTGAATAGCTACCTGAATAACAAGACCTTCTATTATCCCTTTTTGCAGTAGATGTAGCTATAGGCAGGTAGATAGATACATGCACACATATTGAACCTAGATTATAATCTTAAATCCCCCAAAATGACTCCTTGTGATAGGTTCTATTTTCTTTATATTGGAGCAAAGACAAAAGGCTCAGAAGTCTGAAGTGCCGGAGTTAGGACTCGAACCGCTCCAGCTGCCCCAGAGCCAGAGCTGCTCGTCCCGCAGCGGCCCCCGCAGCCTCCATCTGGGCATCTCTGCGCGACAGCGGAGCCAGGAGGCAGAGCGTGGCCTTCCCTGCGCCACCTCAGCCGGGCCCCAGCACACTGCTCCCAGCGGTACCCGTGCCCGCAGGTGACCGCGTGCCAGTGTGCAGTGTGCACATACAGTTTAGCGGGTAAGCGAATTCACAAACGCAGAATCCACACGGAGCTCAGCTGTACTTGTTTCTCCAGCCTCTAGTATTTCTGGAAACCTGGAAGTCGGTTCCAAAGACAGAGCACGGGAAGGGTGCGGCGCGGGGGGAAGGAGCAGGAGGGCCGGCAGAGAGAACGTCAGGGCTGCCCGGGGGCTGTCGAGGTCGGGCGTATTGCTGCTGCTGCTGCTGCCACCACGAATTCTACCCTGTCACTGCCACCCCCACCCCCCAAACTGGTGACCAGACTCTGGAACATGGAGTTATGTCTACAGCCAGAGCTGGTCCTGTCCCTCCCCTGCTCACAACCCTCCCATGGCTCCCCAGCACTGTCTGCAGGAAAAGTCAGACTCCCGAGCATGGCGTTCGAGGCTCGGACTGCCCACATGTCCCGATGCCAAATGGAGACTGCACCTGCATCCCTTCTCCCCACAGCCCCTGCCCACTGTCCCCTCCACCCGGAATGCCCTTCCCTTGTTGCCATGGCCACCATTCTGGTTTCTCTGACAACCCCTTCTCGGGTTCCGGCGGCTTCCCTCCTCCCAGGCTCAGAGGCCAGGAAAGGGAGAGAGAGGTCGAGCCAGTGCGCGGCGGAGACCCATGGCTATGAACTTTCAGGAAGTGAGGAGGGGTCTGGCAGGGGGTGGAGGCCTGGGGCAGGGCCAGGGCCAGGGCAGGGAAGGGTCCTGACCTCTGACCTCCTCCCCCAGAATGTGACTGTGGCCATGGCCGTGTTCACCATCCTCGCCTCCATCTACTTCTTCAACAAGGTGAGTGGCAGGAGGGGCGGAGGCGAGGGACTGAGCCCCTGTCTCTGGCTCCCAGTTTATCGTCTTGTTCCCTCTTTGTCTCTCGTGTCTCTGTCTCCATCTCTTTTCCTCTGTCAGGCTCAGCAGTGAGAAGACACAGGAACCCCCAGTCCAAGAGCCCTGCCTCTGCCCGCACCATGACGCTGGTCTCTGGACCAAATAAATGTAACTGAATCAGCACATCCTGCCCCTCCGCACCAGCCCAGGCCTGCTGCACGTCTGGGGGCTCCGTGTTGGGTGGGGCAGCCTCCTGGGTCTGAGGGAGGAGGGTGATGAGTGCTCAGACTGAGCAGGGTTTTGAGGGATGAGTAAGAGTCTGTGAGGAGCGTTCTGAGATGGGGAAGGACACGCCAACTCTGGGTGCAAGAGCACAGAGGGGAGAAAGAGCAGGGCCGACTCACCACCTGGCACCAACCCAGACTGTACTTGAGACTCATTACTTCTCTTTGAGCTCTAGTTTTCTTCTCCATCAGACAAAAGTGACAATCTTTATCCAATGGGCTCCCGAAGGCCACAGCAAGGGCAGTCTGAGATCAAAGATGTGAATGGGCTTTGTAGGCTTTAGAGGGTCTGTAGTTATCATCATCTTTTTCATTATCACATTGTATTAATACATCTTCTCCTTTTCTCTTCAAACTCCTATTCAACCTTCAACACCCACTGTCAATGCCCCTTCCCATAAAAATGCCCAGAGCCCCAGCCAGGCAGTCTGTTAGCAGCCCCCTCATTGACTGCCCCCTCCCCATTCCCTGCCCCACCATCTCCAACAGCCCCAGGTGATTGCCCTGGAGGACACACCAGCCTTCATTTGAGCCTCGTCTACCTCCTCATTCAGTAAGAAACAATTTCATTTCACCTCAATATCTGAAAAGGTGGCTTCTGAACAGGGTGTTTATGCCTCTGGGTTTCCCAGGGAAAGCCTAACAAGTTCCAATTATGAGCAGATTCCGAGTGGCACTAGAATTCTAGCTCAGATTAATATAATTTTAGTGGATTACAAACACCTTGGTTCTACAGTCTTACGTCCTTGCTTGCAAAACTCTGAGCAGCCACACAGTGGCAGGGTTGGACTATTTTCTCGGCCAGAAATTGGCCCGTACAAGGGTTGCTCTGGGGGAAACGAAAGCTGGTTCCTGCAAAGCCTTGATTCTGAGCCCTGGGGTGAAGGAGGGTGGGTGCTTCTGCTTCCTCCCTCCTCCCTGCCTGGGCATCCTCTGCCCCGGCCCCCACCCCAACCTCCTGTCTCTCTCCTCCAGTCCTCAGAGGGGACCCTAACACCCAGAGCCCACCCTGCCCCTCCTCCTCACAGCCCTCCCCTGGCTCCCCGGCCCCCAAAATGAGAATCCCAGTTCCCTAGTCTGGCTTGGGAGGCTGTGCGAACCCTGACTCTCACCAGCTTTTGTTTTTGTTTTGTTTTGTTTTGTTTTTGAGACAGAGTCTCACTCTGTTGCCCGGGATAGAGTGCCATGGCGTCAGCCTAGCTCACAGCAACCTCAAACTCCTGGGCTCAAGCGATCCTCCTGCCTCAGCCTCCCAAGTAGCTGGGACTACAGGCATGCACCACCATGCCCGGCTAAATTTTTGTATATTTCAGTAGAGATGGGGTCTTGCTCTTGCTCAGGCTGGTCTCGAATTCCTGAGCTCAAACCATCCTCCCGCCTTGGCTTCCCAGAGTGCTAGGATGACAGGCGTGAGCCACCGCGCCCGGCCAACTTTTTCTTTTCTTTCTATCTCCCATGTCCTGTCTGGTGTCCTCTCAGCCACGTATGCAAAGATGGTCCAAAATGCCACAACCCCATGCCATTGCACTTGCTGTGCCCCCTGCCTCAAGTGATCTCTGCGTCACTGTCCTGGGAGTCTTCCTCACCACCACCACCCCCCAAGCAAAGTCACTCTCTCCTGCCTGCTGCCCCCCCCCCGTCCCCCCACTCCCCCAGCTTTCACGGCTGTGACGGAGCTTGAGGGTGGGGGCCGCTCTGAACAGGATCTGGCTCCTGCTGCACCCCCAGCTCGGGGCTTGGCTGTCAATGTTTGTAAAACAAACAGATAGGGACAACAATGCAGTCCATCCCTGCATCCCTGCCACACACACACCCCCCCCCCCCCCTCCCCCCCCCCCCCCCGCCTTGCCCCACCCCCAGGGGGTTTCAACCACTTAGTGCCGCATTGCCTGTCCCCTGGGAGCTATCCCGGTTGCACGTTCACAACCGCAGGCGCGTGGAGATGGACGGGTCCCTGGGGAGGCACCGAGCTCCTCCCTGGACCACTTAAACCACCAAGCCTGGGGACGGGCCTGGCCATCGATTTTCTTTTAAAAGCTCCCCTAGGAGATCGCATCGTGCAGCCAGGGCAGCGTGAAGAGGCATCTCCGTAATGCGTTTGCCGATCACGGAGGAGACAGACCTTTTGTCTGGGAGCTGAGCGCGTTTCCGAGGCAGCCCCGTGGATATATTGGAGACTCAGAACGGGGACGGAAAATTAAGCTTTAGTTTGGAAGCACTGGGGAGTTTGAAGATGAAGGAGGCAAACGACCTCGTTCCCCAGGGCAGGGGGCGGGAGGGACAGGGAGAGGCGTGGGGTAGGTGACGGGCTCCCTGGGGACCCAGACGAGCCGGCAGCAGTGCTGCTGTCCAGCGTTAGCCGTCCCCCTGGGGACCGATGTGCCCAGTTTGCATGGGACTGTCCGGCTTTAGCACTGGAGGTCCCACATCTCAGGAGTTACTCCTTCCTGGGACAGCCAGGAAGGCTGGTGACCCAGGTGCCACCTGCCAAATCCCTATGCCCTGCCCGTGTCCCAGCTGTACACCTGGCTCCTGTTCTCCCAGTGGCAAAGCTGCCTCTCGCTGTCTCTCCGTCCCTGCCCCGTGCTGTTCGTCTGTCTGCCTCTGTGTCTGTCCCCACCACTGTTCCTCTCTCCTCCTGTCCCTCCGACACCAGTTCTATTTCCATCTCCCACTGAAGCACTCCGTGTTCCTGTCTCCCTCTGGGTTTTCGCCTCCAAGTCTCTTTCTGTCTCATCTCCCACTTGGTCCCTCGCGGCAGCCTGACCTGGCTCTCACCTCCTCTCCCTGCCTGGGTCCCCATCCGCCATCGTGACTGTGTGATTCCATCCCGTCTGCACCTCTCTCTGGGCGTCTCTCCTCCCACCTGGTGGCTTTCTCTCTGGTCTCTGTCCCCTCTCTCTCTGGTCTCTGTCCCCCTCTATCTGGTCTCTGTCCCCTCTCTCTCTGGTCTCTGTCCCCCTCTATCTGGTCTCTGTCCCCCTCTATCTGGTCTCTGTCCCCCTCTATCTGGTCTCTGTCCCCATCTCTCTGGTCTCTGTCCCCTCTCTCTCTGGTCTCTGTCCCCCTCTATCTGGTCTCTGTCCCCCCTCTATCTGGTCTCTGTCCCCCTCTATCTGGTCTCTTTCCCCCTCTATCTGGTCTCTGTCCCCATCGCTCTGGTCTCTGTCCCTCTCTCTCTGGTCTCTGTCCCCTCTCTATCTGGTCTCTGTCCCCCCTCTATCTGGTCTCTGTCCCCCTCTATCTGGTCTCTGTCCCCATCTCTCTGGTCTCTGTCCCCTCTCTCTAGGTCTCTGTCCCCTCTCTCTAGGTCTCTGTCCCCTCTCTCTGATCTCTGTCCCCTCTCTCTGGTCTCTGTCCCCTCTCTCTAGGTCACTGTCCCCTCTCTCTGGTCTCTGTCCCACTCTTTCTAGTCTCTGTCCCCATCTCTCTGGTCTCTGTCCCCTCTCTCTAGGTCTCTGTCCCCTCTCTCTAGGTCTCTGTCCCCTCTCTCTAGGTCACTGTCCCCTCTCTCTGGTCTCTGTCCCCTCTCTCTGGTCTCTGTCCCCTCTCTCTAGGTCACTGTCCCCTCTCTCTGATCTCTGTCCCCTCTCTCTAGGTCACTGTCCCCTCTCTCTGGTCTCTGTCCCACTCTTTCTAGGTCTCTGTTCCCCCCTCTGTGGGTCTCTGTTCCCCCTTAGTCTCTGTCTCCCTCACTACACCCCCATCTCTTTCTGCCCCGCCCCCTCACCCCAGCCAGTCCTGGCTGCTTGTCTGTCCCAGCTCAGTGTCTCACATTCCTGAGGAGCAGGGAGCCCAGCTGTCCTTAACGCTCCAGGAATTCCGCTCAGGTGCCCCCAGCAGGGCCCGCCTCCCTCCCCAGAGCCTCCCCCTTGGCATGATCAGAGGGCCTGGCACAGCCGTCGCCTGAAGGCCTGGTCCCCACACACGTAGAGCAGAGGGTCGAGGCAGCCGCTGGCCCCTGCCAGGGTGACTTCCGGGGTCTGGGCAGCACCCAGCTTCCCCCAGGTCCTGCCTGGCCTCCTGCAGGCCCATCGGCCTCGGCGGCAGCAGCAAGTGAAAGAAGATCCGCAGACATCCCGGCCCTGTGGGCCTGGCCAGCGGTGGCCTGTCCCTCGTGGGGCTGTGGAGAGGGCCCAGCACCCCCGTGGCACCCCAAAGCCAAACAGCAACTGAGTCAAGGAGAACCTGCTGGCCCAGAACGCTGCCCCCAGCCCAGGGCTCAGCGCCAGGCGGGCCACGCTGGGGTCCATGTGGCAGAAAGTGCCACCCAGGGGCATCCAGGTGAGGGTCAGCTGCAGGAGGACAGTGAGGATGGCATCAGCCCAGCCTGGCGGCCGAACCAGGCGGCTGAC